TCAGTTAAGTTGATAGAAAACAATTTAAAAAATATAATTAATAGTTATATGGAAACTTACAACTAACTTATAACATTTGTTTAAATATATAAATAGCCAGTTATAACGGTATAAAAAAAAAAGTAAATGCTTATGCAATATACATCATTAACAATAATTTTGTTATATTCATTATTTAATTATTTTTAAATTAATGTAATTTGGATTTGATTAAAAGTAACTTGTTATTTATTAAGTTTATATCAATAAAAATTGGTGAAGTTACAAATTAAGTTAATGACATTTAAATTAAAAAGTAAGAATGAACTTAAACTTTTTAATTTCTCATATAAAAAAACACAGAAGCCACGGATTAATGTAAATTTTTATTTAGTTTATGCTTTTTTAGTAATACACAGGAATACTTGACAAGGTAAACAAAATGAAAAATAAAATACCATTTTTGTATAAAATTAAATAATTATAATTTATTAAGTAAAGTATTCATAATAATTAAATAGTAAATTGCATATTAAAACATGTAAAAATAATACTGTGATGTTAAAATTTAAATTAAGATATACAATATCTAAAAAATGAAAGTAATGCAAAAAAAAATCATTGTTTGAATGTTATATGTGAATAACATTTTAAAATTTATTTTTTAGTATACTTGTGAACCATGCCACCATATCTAACTATGAAAGCATTTATGTCAAACTTTCTCTTGCATCCTTCATAGTTCATATACCTAATTTTTCCAAAAATTTCTCTTTCTCTCCACCCCTGATCATGAATACCACATATTGACCACATACATCCAACAAAACCACTTGGGTCGCGACCGTCCATGCTATACTTGTCATTGAGATAAATGGCATCGGCCAGTGCTCTATCTGGAGTATCAGTCCATTCCAGTATCTTTTTAGCCCAGTACATGCGAAGGAAACCGTGCATCTTGCCTTCCTTTACCAACTGTATTTGTGCAGAATTCCACAGATCATCATGTGTGCGTGACTTTTCCAACTCTTCTCTAGTGTACACAAACATTCGTTTGTCTTTTCTAAACAAAATACACAATATGTTTAATGTTTATTATAATTTATGACTCAGATTAATGTATAAAAAATATTAAGCAGATTAATGTATAAAAAAACATTATTTATTGTAGAATAAAAAAAAAGAACTTGCCTGTGCTCGTTTAAGGTGGTTTGAGCCCAGTTTGGTGCACCTTCAATCTTATCATACTTTGGGTTGTAGAAACAAAAGTTGTCAGAGAGCTCTCTTCGAACAATTGCTTCTTCCCTATAAGCTGCCACACTCTCCGGGTACTGTTTTGATAGTTTACTAACTTCTAAGATACATCTTTGAGCTGATATCTGACCTGAAAATTATAAATGTGTTAAATACATTAAAATATTTAATATTAATAAATGTTCTTACCAAAATGCAACCAAGGTGACAGTTTGCTAAGACCGTCTTTTACTGGATTATTTCGATCTGTAGAATATTTTGGCAATCTCTTTTTCAGAAACAGTTCTAATTCGCTCATACCAGCTTTAAAACCAGCCTTCAGACCTGGCACAGATATAACGCTACGGTCCACTTCTAAGGTTTTGTCAGCTTCATCCCAATTTGTTGGCTAATAACATTAAATTAAAAACATAAAATAATTTGTTTTATTTGAAATGTTTTAAGCTAATCAATTACACTACATACCTTAGCTTTAAATGTACTGGGAAATGGATGTTTGATCACTGGTGGGAATTCTGTTAAAAACTCGGGTAATTTGTTATTGATTTTGTTTCGTATTGTTCTTGCAGAATATTCTTGTTTGTCAGAGGCTACCCAACAAGGTACAATATTATGGGCATCTACCTGTATAACTGGCACTTCAGATCCAACACGTTCAGCTAATTGTTTAGCCCATGTCATATGTTCTCGCACAGGCATAAAATCTACAACTATTGCACCAAGTTTATGCTTCTTTACAAAATCTGGTAGTATGTCTGCTGCACAACCAATTAAAAAATGAAATTGGATATCTAGTGATTTACACTCAGTTTCTAGTTCTTCCAAGCCTATTAAGAAAAAAAAAATTGTGATATATTATGATATAATGTTTCAGTAGTAGTTGAGAGGATGTTGTACCAGCATGTGTTCAAATACAATATAGTAAATTTTCGTTCACCAGATTTAATAGTGAGCTGTTATTTTTGATATTAGAGTGAATCAACCTATTATACAATTTAAAGGTAGGATTATTATCTAGGGCCTCACATAGCTTTTTTATTAATAATGTACAGTTTAAAAAAGATCATAATTCACTTAAAAATAATAATATCAAAAAAGCCTTCATGGGGCCCTAGATAATAATCCTAGGTACCTTTAAATTTTATAATAGGCCAATTCACTTTAATATCAAAACTAACAGCACACTAATGAATCTGGTGAATGAAAATTTGGTATGTCGTACATGTGCAAGACGGAGACAACACATGCGGGTATGTTGTCCTCTTAAAGAAGCAATATAGTTTTTACATAAAGCACAGTATTAAAAGTATAACCAAATTTTTATTTAGTTTCACCATCTAATGATAAGTTTTACTTTTAAACAATATGCTAATTGTATTTTACATGAAGTAAATTCAGTTAAATACTTTTGGGGTATCAACAGGTATCAACGGTACCTGAGCGGTAATTGATTATTCATTATACAAAACCATGGCTATGTTTACCAATGATACAAATATAACCAATGGTATTGCCGAATTGTTTTAATAAATTATAAAATAAATATTATAAAAATTAAATTGTGAAGTTTTTCAATAAATAAAATATTTGAACTTAAGATAAAAGTTCTTAAAATTTTTAAATAGATATAATATTAAATCTGGTGTTAATTATATTGGACCATTTTTGCAAATTATAAATGTACTATATTTTCAGGTCAACTTGGCCCTCATATCTACTAGATTTATTATCATGAATCTGTCTGTAATACACAAAATTAAATAACTAAAATTCTAGTAGTTCAAATAGTAGCTAAATAATTTACATCAGTAATGGGGTGTTTTTATTTGAAAAATAGATGTTAGTGTCTCCAGTATCGTCAGGATACTTCCTAGGCAGTACAAAAAAATCTTAAGAATTCAAAAATAAATTTTAACTGAATTATTCATTATTGATGGAAAAAAGGGGATGAGTATGCTTGGGATTTCACCGTGTATATTATTTATTATAAGTACATTGATAATAATTTTAGTATTCATTAGAAACCAATTTGTATTAAAATAAATTCATTTTTTTACCTTGAAATATATGTTTATAATGCCGTAAGCTACAGTTTAAGAATTGTTTTAGTCTACAAAATGTGATATGTAATGAAACTTTGTTTTTGATTGCCAATTTTTGAGCATAAAGTAATGCCCAGTTATCTGAAAAAAATGTAGTTAAAGAATATTATATACACAAAATTACATTAAATATTTAATTTACCCTGAATACGTTCATCTCTGAAAGTCCAATAAATAACTCCTTCAGCCCATTCAGGCACTTCTTTTTGTTCAGATAACACTCGCACACGTTTCTTGTTGAATTTAAATTCCATTATAGAAGGCGCTGTCTGTAGATATGAATTTTGTTATAATAATGTACTAATTAACTGCAGAATTAGCTTACTTTATTACGCTCTGATGCTATATCATTTAAGAAGTTACTGGTTTTGGAAGTGCCAACTTCAGAACTTGTTTTCTTCAATTTCTTGGTAGGTGGTGAATTGTCAGACATTTTACTTATTTAAGAAGGTATTATCACAGAATAATGGTATTAGGTATACTAAAGAAAATAAAATCATTCATTTTTAGCTGTTAAATTTTGTTATTTACAGTAATATCATAATCAAGCAGTAGTATCTGGATTCATAAAATTTATTTTTGATCATCCAAAGTTGTCAATATCAAGTGCAATTTTATTGTTCTCTAATCAACATTCTTATATTATAATGAAACATACAATCCTTAGGTTTATAAATATAAAAATTAACAATTTTCTACTTAGTTTCAAGCTAATAAGCAAATAGGTAACTAATATTACATACCTTTTGTATCTTATATTCCTATTTCCTAGTTACTAGTTGAATATTTTCTTCAGAAGTGAGATTTTTTACAGCAGATAATTTTAATTTGTAATTAGTTAGTTTATGATCTATATTAATTCGTATTTGCTTATGATAATATGATTTATAAATAAATCATAATAATTATGTAAAAGTAATACACTGATTTACAATAATAATGAATATTGAATACACATGATATCATGGGAATACCTAATTAAATGTTTGATTTTACAATATTATATTTTGAATCTACTAACCACTGGTTACCGCTGATAAGGAAATAAGATGAAATTGGTTGATACCGTGGAAGTATATTAAATTGTATTTACTCGAAATATTGAGGGGTTATTTTAATAACGAAGTACAATATTTATTAAAAATATATGCTTATTGATGACTGATGAGACAATCAAGATTTTCAAGAAGAAAAATTCGATACTCATCGATATGGAATAGTTACGCACCGACTCTTATCATAGTTTGAGTCTGATATGGGTCGGTACGTATCGCTTGAACATTGCATGTGGAACTTCTTGAACGCTTAAAATTGACTCGATTGTCGATACGTATCGATACACTCCAAATTCTTCCTTGAAAATCTTGAATATTTTGGTAACTTGTTAGATTGTGACAAGGGATATTGGTATCAACATTAGATTATACCTTGGTTTGTGACATATTATACAATTCTATACCTACCTAATATACGCGATTTATTTTTGTCAAAAATTAATTCAACCAACCTATCGACTATCGTATTATATGAGTTATGATTGTAAAATAAATTACTACAATAGCAATATAAATATATCATAAAATATAATTATATAGGTCTTCGCTTAGAACTGTTTTTCGTATGCAACGATTAATAATTGAGTTCAAATTTTACACAAAGGTTCAGTGACTTACTCAATGATGTGCACATTATTCGACATCTACTATACAACAGAGCGGTTACCTGTTCCCCCTTTTTCTATACATCGTTGCCATCTTTACGGCTGAACATAACATAATATATTTGTTATAGTTAACTACGTACTATTTACATTTTTCGTATTACAATTTTTAACAGAAAACACAAAATTTATTCTCAAATTTTAACACTAAACACATAATTAGTGATTTGGACTGAGTTGGACACGTCTTGTCGATGGCCTGTAATAACCACGATGAACTTAAAGAAAACGGTGGCCAGCGATCCAACAATGGTGTATGCCGCAAGTTAACCAAACAGAGTCAAAAGGTCGATTCGGTCGGACCCGGTGGCCCGGAAACCGTCAAGTTTGTTATCGCTGTCACTTCGGACGTTGGCAGCGAAAAGTCGTCCAAGCATTTCAAGGGCTCAAAAGTTAAGTCATCGCGTGGAAAGTCACGTCGTGGCAGCCGCAAGAACTTGGTAGGAACCTTGGACCAGGCGATCAGAAAGAGAAACATATTTACCGCGGTGGCGAAGATGCCTGCCGAGATTCAGACGACGTTGATCGAAAACGGCTGGATCGGCAAAATTACCGTCGCCGACGACTGTTTCCGTCGAAGCGGTGAGTACCTTCCACTGAATTGAATAAGTACAATGTATTTGGGGGGGGGGGGGGATTGATGTGCATAATATATTACCCCCTGACCATTTTTTCAAGCAGTTAATTATTGCTTGTTAAAAACATACATTACGATTTTTAACAATACAAACTTTGTATTAATTCATTATCAAGTTTTGCTCATTAAAGATTGACTGGAATGTAGTACCGTCAGAGTTAAAAATGTGGTAAAAAAATGTCATCAAATAATTTGAATTTATAGACAGCAATGATGGATGTCCTTTTTATTATCAACAAGCAATTATGTTCGATTATAAAATGTATTATAAACATAATGTGTAGGTAACTAGATATCACACTAGATATCAACACCAAACTGAATATGAACCTACAGAATATATTCAAATTTCAGTTCAGCCGGGACCTCCTATATTGATCAAATAAATTATGATCCATTTAGTCAACAAAAAATATACCCAATACCTGTAGTCAAAAACCTAACGAGCCCCAGATCGGTTTGTATTTTCGTTAAAATATATTATATTTTGTATAGGTGCACGGCCACACGGTAATTACTAATTAGGAGTAGATGAGTATACATGTGTTCAAATTTATATTTAATTTTTTTCCGTGGGATTTTTTTCTTGGTGCGTTTATTTTTCTGGGATTTACTTCCGTGGTTTTTATTTCCACGATTCATTTATATCAATACACTGTACATTGCGATTTACAAAGCCAACAATTAAAGTAGGAAAACCATAAAAAGTATATATTTTATTTATTTATTAATGTGTGCTGGTTTAATCTATAAAATAGAATACTGGGTTTTGTTATGTAGAAAAAAAATAACAGGTAGGTATGTGGTTTCTACATTTTTTTGCCCATAATGCTCATATTAATGTCATAAACATGGTACCTATTACTTATACCTATATTGGCGTATTGCGTATTAAGTTTGACCTACTAATTCGGATTGATTACACCATCGCAATCGTTCTCGTCAGCGTTTAAAAGTGGTAACTGTACCTACGTTAAAAACTTTTTGTTTTTGAAATATACGTTCGTAGGAGTTAAACTAGATTTATGCCGTTCAATTGATCTTATCACCCTACCTACTCAAAAGATATTTCTAACCAACAAAAATTATGTATACATATTTACGAAAAGAAAAATAATTTTTAATTCATTTTAATATTTAAATATATTTTCATAACTCAATTTATTTACATATACAAAACTGCTTAGAGTGGAAGTTGAATAAATTGAAACGTTAAATACTATAATATGTAGATATTCTTTATATCTACATCATGTTATTGTGATATTGTTAATCTATTGTTATAACATAATATAATAACGGAAACATAATTGTTACAATAGTACTTATTTTAGTTCTATATAGACTATTAATTTCAAACTGAGCATTTGGACTGGTTTGATGAATATTCTCTAAATTACTAAATGCTAGTCACGTCCGTGGTTCGATTTTGACGTAACAACCATCAACTAATTTAAGTGTCATTAAAAACATTAATCTTAGGTCTTCTGGTGTAGGACATCTGTCAGATGGGAAAAATTTCATTTTTCTTACTAGTGTGGAAATTACAGTCTTTATTTGAAGCATAGCATATTTGATTCCGATACAATTTCTAAGTCCTGCGCCGAATGGAATGTATGCATAAGAATGTCGACTACCACAAGCGCTGGGCAAGAAGTTGTCCGGGTTAAACTTTTCTGAATCGGTGTAATACAATGGACTTGATTGTAAAAATATTGGGCAAATAACTAACGCAGCACCTAAACATTTGTAATTTACATATTTTTATTATATTATGTATATATATTTGTAATTTGTTTTAAAATTACCAGCTGGGCATATGTATTCTCCTATTTTCATATCTTTATCTAATCTTCTTCCAAGAAATGGCAACGGAGGGAAAAGTCGCAATGTCTCTTTGATTACCATTTCGACGTATTTCATTTCTTGAAAATCTTTATAAGTAGGTGGTCTATTAGGATCTTCCTTCAAAAATATCGATTGTAATTCTTCAAATACCTGCAATTTAACTAAATTAATTATAGGTATGTGGGTAATTTAAATATCTATGAGTAAAATATAATTTGTGCCTTGTTTTGTATGCCCTGATGATGAGCTAACATGAAAATAGTACAAGTGATCGCCATAGCAGTTGTTTCTTGTCCTCCTGAAATATCATTAATATTATTTTGAGTAATTTTATTTTGGCATTTGGCTTATAATGTTTGTATACATTATGCAAAAACAAAATCTAATAACAAATCCTCTTGAAGTATCATGTCAACAAATCATAAGTGTGCATTGTACTTATATATATTATAATATATGTATTTATAATTAATAATTGTATATTATAGTTTATAAGTATATATGTTCCTTTAATAATTAATGCGTAATGGCACAGAAATTAACAGCAAATAAAAAAAAGAGCATAGATTAGAGCGTATCCAGCATCACGGTCGTGGCGCGAGCTAAGTAAAAAAAGTATACTGGCAGCACAACAGTGTATATTATCTCGAACTTCGAAGCAGGAGTTACCCATTTAAACAGTGTAAATGTTTTTTTTTTTTTTAACCGGGCCCAACTAATTATCTACTAAATCAATTAATATAAGGCTGGCGGTATTTCAAACGTTGATACTGCAGGTATCCGGTATTTGTTTACTACCGGTATACCGAAAGTACTACCAGCCTTAAATCACTACTTCATAAATTGGAAAAAATCAGAAAAATTCTGAAAAATTGGAGTAAATTTAACTAAGTACACTTATTTCAAAAAACAACAAGTTTAGTAAAAGAATCAAATCTTTGGTTTTGATGTAATAAATAGACAATAAACGTCAAATAATAAATAGTAATATAGAGAGAAGCCTAGTGGTTGTAAAGACGTTTCTATAGTCCTAAAGAGGAAAAATCAGAACAAAAATTTATTGATGTACAAAAACCGGTGATATTACAACAAAAACACTTCGTCCAACTACGTGTAAAAAACGGCTTAATAAAAAAAACAAATCTTTAAACACTATAAATAAATTCTAAGTAAATTGAATAGGTATACTTATTTTGTTTCAATAATTTATTTACTTGGCGAGTAAATATTTTGAGTAGAAATGTCTATTAAAATATTTTAAATTACCTATAATGAACTTCGAATGCCTTTTGTTTATTTTGTTCACGTTAGGTATTTCATGTGCCCCGTTATATAAAGTATATAATTTCTCGCCAAGTAAATTAATTATTGAAACAAAATAAATATACTTTAATTCAATTTACTAAGAACTTATTTATGATATCACATCTTTATAGTGCTTAAAGATTTGTTTTTTTTTTACTTAGCCGTTTTTTACACATAGTGGACGAAGTGTTTTTGTTGTGATTGTATATTTATATTACTATTTAATATGTCCATTATTTAACAATAACTCAATATATTTAATAACTCAAATTTCAATTTGAATAAAAAATGTTTATTTGTGGAACTAATTTGGTATTTAATATATTACAAATATTTATTGATGATTTCATTGGAAGTTGGAACGATAATAAGAGATATTAGACGAAATATTTTAATGTGTATTGATATTTACCAATCATAACTGTCACAATTTCGTCTCGTATTTGTTCGTGGTCCATTTTATGAGAGCTTCCTAAAAGAATTTCTAACACTGTTTTTGATTTTGGACAACAGTCTTCATTATCCCTTTGTATTTTTTTCTCACAACTATTTATATTTTGGTTTAATTCAATGATTTTTTTTTTTATAATTTCATCTGTCAACTCGTTTATGACTTTTTGACTTCTATCGTGTTCACGTTTTACTGACGAAAATCTGAATAATGTGTTGTTCAAGTACCACGGATGTGTAACTCTATACTCCCATGCCTAAAATGAGCGGTAAATTATTAAAAAATATGAACTTATTGAATAACTGAATATGTATCCCACAAAAAATGATAGCATACATGCATTGCAGTTTGTAGATGTTCAACAAATTTATTGCAGCCACCTGTTTGAGCATTGAATGTTACACCTAAAGCTGTTTTTCCGATCATTTCCATTGTGGCCATACTAACAGGACCACTTATATTACATTCATTTGATTTTAAACACTTTTCTTGGAGTATTTCGGCAAGCACGTTTGCTTCTTGGTAAAATATTGGTATAAATGATTTTATAGGTGAGAAATTTAAACCTTTAGTTACAATTTTTCTTAAATAATATAGATAAAAAAAAATATATTATTTTCTGTCAAATGGTTGAACTTTGAATAACTTAGTTAAACCCTATTTTGCCATTTTTAGTTAATTAGAAAATTAAATTATTGTATGGTATTTCAAATATTTTTATAATTTACCTGTTATTTTTCCATTTTCCAATGTCGTCGATGGAAAATATTCCTTGGCCCATAATAGACTCTTGTAAAACCATATAATCTTTGGATTTTCTTAAAAACTTCGGATTACTAAGAATTAATTCTATATCTTCAAGTCTTGTAAGTACAATATATAAATTATTAAAAAGCCAAAATTTTGCTATATGCTTTTCATATCTAAAACAATTTTTAACAAACATTTAAAAATTATATACACAGTACAATTGCATGTCAATAAAACTAGTCTTATATTTTAATTTTGGTTACGTACCAAAAGTATAGTACCCACAGTAACCCACAGTAATTGTAAGTCATCAAATTGTATATTTGTGTTTTCATATTGATGGAACAATATAAAGTTTGATAAGTCTGAATATATTAAAACTATTATACAATTTGTATTACAAATTTAAACTTACATTCGGTATTCTCTTAATATATTTTTTAATAATTGTTCTGGTCCTTGTAAGAACAGTGGTAATATACCAACAAGAAACCATCCATTTGGCCCAGGTATTCGATTCGCTAATATTCTATTCTTTCTGCCTTTAAGTATTAACATTACTAAAGTTATTACTAGTATAGAAAAAATCATAGTAAAAGTTAGATATTCCATATTCAATCTGTAAACAAATTAAAATTTTGTTCTAATTATATTTTAATTGTAATAGTATTGTAAAATATGATTTTTAGTTGAGATACCTAAACAGATTAATAAACGAATACAATATACTAAAAACAAATTTGTTTCGGAATTTTTTTCATGTAATTATACATGCCTTAAAAATTTAAATATCATACTTAAGGTACCTAAATAACAATTAGGTGTGTATTTTCTGCCTAAATATAAAATATATTACGTTAAGTTATAAAATGAAATATTTTTTTTATTATTATAGATATTCTAATTTTTTTTGATTAAGTTTTTTGCAATTTGGCAAAAACAGGTGGTAAATAAATTTAGCTACCTAGGTATTATGTTTAATAAATTAAAGTGTGAACCAGAGATTTAATACAATTGCATGTTTTTTTGGTTACTTATAGAATAAATTAAGTTTGGTTAAATGTTGTCTTACACGTATACATAATATAACGCATAATATAACGCCTACGGTCTACACATATTATATAGTACCTACTACCTACCTATAAATATAAAACCAATCAACTTACAAACGTTTCGAAAAATAAAAATATAGGAAACTGATACCCACAAATTAAAATAAAGTTAAACATAGACGTAAAAACTAATAGAACTAAAATCCTTCTACATGAACTATTCTGACTTTTAGACACTTGAAAAGTTCTGCCCGAATATTGTGTTGTAGTTGCTAGTAGTGGCAGAATATAGTAATCAAAAACCAACCCACCGCTTAGGTAGGCTATACCATAAGGTTCTACTTTGGTAACTTATGATTTTGCTTCGGTTGCTATTTTTTGTCTATCTTTGATAATATGTTTGTATGTCCACGCGACCTGTTAATGTATCATATATGTCAACAGTTAAAACATTATATTTTATTCTTGTGTCAGCATTTTTACTTAATTTACCAAATATTTAACTATTAAACATATTATTATTTGTTTATCGTTTATCATATTATACTTTTCACCACTTGAGAGCTGCTTTAAAGAGTCTATCAACATTCAACAAAAATAAAAAATATTTCAAATTTCAATCTAACATTTAAAAACTAATATCTATGCCTCCTGTTTTATCAGAACACTGCACTTCATAATAATTTCTAAGTTCCTATCATTAAAAAATACATGAAATATTATGGAATGATCGTCAAGTTTTATTTGTACTTGAATACATGTATACCAAATATAACTAGCACATTGTTATTTTTCTGAACTTCTTCAACACGAGGACGAGCTTAGATTTTTGGACGCTCAAAGCAAATTTATTTTAAGCTGCCCCTATTTCATAGTTAATTTGTTTAAGGGGAAAGGGCACACACGAATAAACATAGTAATAAGTCATAGTTATAGGTCATATTATGTTTTATTCCTAATACAGTAATACATTCATATATAAAATATGAAATAAATACGTTATATACTGAAAATACATAACTACAATATTCAAAATAATATACCAAACTATTTATTTTTGATAACAGTATTGATTATATTTTTAAAATGTAGATAGTATTTTTAAAGTTCTCAAACAGCTTTGTTTTTGATAGACATTAAATACATTATTGGTACAATATATATATTTGACATCAAAACTTTTAACAATATTTTACCCTATAATAACATAAATCTCAGCTTAAAAAAACTTTAATTTATTCAACTTGATCGATTCGTGTCATATTATATTTATAGGTACCACCGTCGAGGTGATATCGCTGCACAATAACGTCGAACGCGTCAAAGTGGTCGTCAAACGTTACGAGTCTGGTCTGGTGTGGACGGACGCGCGCAGTGGCGGCGTCAACTGGATGACGCTGCCCCCGGATGTCGTGGTCAACAGGTTCCCGAGGGATGCAAATGCCGCTTTGAAGTTTTGTGGCCATGCTCTGGCTGGAAAATCCGAATTCGACAACCACTATCCGAGGGCGTACCCGGCGTGCCCCAAAGGTATTCATGCGGACAGCTTCGTCGCGGACTACTCGCTAACCGCTTGCGTGTCGTTACTGAGGGCATTCGTGGATGGCGGTCATGACACCATGTGCGCCAAAAACGGTCAGGTGAGTGTACCAGCAAAATTGTTTATTTTTGTATTAAGTAAACCGATAACCGAAATAATTAATTGTTGTAGGTTAAATTAAACAAGTTCCCATTTAAGGTAACAATTTTTTTGGTTGACTGTTTTATATAGATGGTTTTTTAACGATTTCGTTAGTTCTCATTAATTTTCAGATAATATATTATTCTCGCTTTAGGTATTCGTTTTTTTTTGTTACTCCAATTTTATTGTTTGCTGGGTTAGTACAAAATTGATCTTATCATTTCTTATCTCTGTGATTTAGAACACGGATTTTTTTATTATCCTTGAATATTATTTTTCATGGGTTGATGTTTTTTAGTTTTAGAACATATTTTATTTGTGTTCACACAGTTTTTTTTTAAAACAGTCGAGTAGGTAACCGCTTTGCTGCGCAGTAAGTGTCGATTATACTTCGTTATTGATTAAAAGTTACTGTAATGTTTGTATTAAATTTAAATACTCAAAGCAAATATATATATATAAAATTTAAATTATTTGCGTACAAATTGTGTTTTCCTTTTTAGTACCTATCTGTAATGTTACACACGATCACTTAAACATTTTCTAAATCAATCGTTTACCTTTAATTTATTTGAAACGCTTTGACAATACAATTGTTCTATATCATGATATCCCAGGTTCCTCTTTCGGCACTTAACTTTGCCTCGATTAAATGTCACCAATACCTAACGGACGGCGGATTGCTAAGGTCGGCGTCGTTTCCAGGGAAGGGCGCTGCTTGGGAAAAGTTTTTCGAACATTACTACAAGATCGTACACGACAGACGGAAGTTCACAGTGCCGGCAGCGGTTGACGACGAGGAAGCGGCGCTGCGCTATCTGGCGATGTCTAGTGGCCAGTTGGTCGACCAGCTGACCACTGCGAGGCCGCAGACGGCGATGGATGGTTACGAGAACGTGTGGATTGTCAAGTCTACGGTGGCCCTGCAGAGTGGCCGGCCCGTGATGCTGAACAAGATCGGTGACTTGGTAGAGCGTTGCGCGCGGGTGGGCGGTGCCAACCACATCGTTCAGAAGTACATCGAGACGCCACTGCTGCGCGATAACGTCAAGTCAGACGTACACACGTGGATCGTGCTCTCGACGCTCGACAGTCGGCTGAGTGTGTGGCTGCACCGGACGTGCGCCGTGCAACCGTACCCGCACGAGTTCTCGCTGCACCGGGGCGCCACCCAGGCTGGGCATTTCGATCGGCTCAAGTCGGGTGGGCTACACGGGATGCTGCGGCCGACTGCTCTGACTTGCGGCCTCAAGCAGCTCGTGGAGACTATACGGCATGGCAAGAAAACGGGTAAGCAGCAGAAGAAACAGCGACGTCAGCAGCAGCAACGGGTGGCGGTGAGCGATGACGGTGAATGCATCAACGACGACGTCTACTCGGCGGTTAGACGGTCCGTGGTGTCGGCGATGGCCACGGCCGCTACGGCTGGCTCGCTCGATCTGAGACCTAACTGCTTGGAACTATTCCGTGGCACGTTCGTCCTGGGCGACGATACGCGGCCGTGGCTAATCGACATCGTGTCGGACGACCCGTGTCTGGACGCCGACTGCAGCAACAGGGAAGGTGACCGGACGGCGCCAATGGCCATCGTAGCACGGAGCGTAGCGCGTGGCGTGGCCAAGATGCTGGTGGACAGCGGCCGTAAGCGGGCCACCCGGATAGGCATGTTCGACATGGTGCACGAGTGTTCGATGCCGGTCGGTGCTATTGCGTACGCGCCTCGGCCATTCGCCGAGTCTGTTCCTACGTCCACCGCGTACAAGTTGCTGGCCAGGAAGATCAACCAGCCGGGCGGCCACATGTCCACACGTGTTTCCCACAGTGACGCCCATCGCTATCATCACTGGTGCGACGACTATTCCATCAGCACATATGTACAAATGATCAGTGCGGACGATGTGCAGGACCAACCTCAGACGTCTTCACAGACGATCGGTGTGAAGGTGGCGGTGTCAGCGGACGACGCAGAAGTGAGCTCAGCGGACGACGTGGAGCTGAGTTCGGAGCTGATTTTTGGGTCGTCCGAAAACAGGGACCTCTGTGTCCGCAGCCCACCCAAAACCGCCCGGGGCTTGAAGCTGTTGAAAAAGTGCAAGACCAAAATCTCGTCTATGCAAAGGATTTGCAAGTCTATTGTACGCAGAGACCGCAATAACAACAATGGTGACGTCTGACCAAACTCAGCTTTTGAAGTGCTGACCGTTAAATGCGTATGAATGTATGATTATTATATTATTATATTATTGTTATTATACTACTATAGTGTAGCTTGGCAGAACTGTCCAGGGCGGTCCACCATTTATATCGAAAATTTTTTATTTTATTTTTAATATTGTTTTAAATAATTTGACTGCATCATTGAAAAATATAATTTATTAAAAAAAGAGTTGAGTTGTAGATCCTGGGCTCATCGTTTTCACAATCAAGTATGAGTGTTTTTTTAAAATGTATATTTATATTTTCATGTCAGTTATTTTCTTTTGAAATATTAAAAATGGAATGTCTTTGAAGTAACATTAAATAGTGAACACAGAACGACAGAACTAACAATATATGTGAAACATGGAACAGTCTCTTCACATACTTGGTAGGTCATTGTCATCCAACAATATAGGTGCTAATTAAAAAAAACAAGCTGGAGATTGGAGCCGATCGGGCAAAAATAGCATTAAGCAGTACAGGACAAACCATGAAAAAATCAAGAATGAACCAAAAAAGCATCAGGCATGAAACATTGTGCAAGCGAATTCATAACTCCCAGTTAAGTGTTGAAGCATTTTTAATTCAAGTGGGACATAATATTAGGACACAGGTTAATATAGGTTAAGGATATATCTGAAATCAAATTAGTAATAAAATTAGTAATAATTATATCAATCTGACCAAAAAATTATAATGTCATATTTTATTTAATATTTTAATTTTTATTGTACCAATAATATTGATTTAAGACTTAAGTTGAAAAATGTATACTTATAAAGTTATAAATAAATAAATGTATAAATTATGGGACTTTTTTTCGTAGGACTTTTTTTTACCGTACTTTGTTCGACGGAATTTTAAGTAGAATCCCTTAGTATTATACACTAGACAAGGAATAAATGTGGAATATCGGGCAATGTACACATGTGGTCCTGCCCGGGCAATGTAAACCACAAATATTTTTTTTAACCAGCTAATATTATTTTTTATTATTATTATAAATTATAATCATTAACTATTTATAGTATTGATTTTTTTTAAAAACAATCATTATCAATTTTATTCATGTACCATATTATATTATATTACGAACATTTTGATGGAATAACAAAAAAAAAAAATATTAGTTGTTTAAAAAATACCACATTGGCCATAACATATACATATACTGTACTTGGTACTTCTGTACAAGTAGTTCGCACTTGATTTCATTTAATTAATAATATATGTATTATTAATACAAATTCAAATTATATTATGTAATAATGTATTATATTATGTAAACCGTTGTATTTTAAGAAAATTTAGGATTTTTCATGAGCGCGGGGGCCCAAGGGAGAAGTCCAAGGCGCGGGGCCCGGGGCGTCAGCCCCTCTCGCCCCGGCCTAGGGACGGCCCGGGGTTTTTGGAAAAAAATTGGACATTGTTGATAATTCAAGTCAAAGAATTTTCTGGACTTGATATTTAATTTTATAATTTTCAAAATATTTTGTCTCCTATTGTGCTATTTATATTTTATAGAAATTTAAAATTTTTATAATGTGATTTTCTGATGACGTTACCGAGTATTGGACCATCGGTTGCTGCCCCACCTGATGCAGACTGGTTACACCAAAGTTAATTGAAGTTGCAGTTGATCCTGCGTGTCTCGAAAAGAAAGAATTTAATTTTTAATTTCATCATCAAAATTGATTAGTATCACGAACCAAAAACACGATCAATCAAAATTAGCACGTGCATAGAAATTAACCCAATGTGATATTTAATGCGAATGTAATAAAATAATTTATTTACCTACCTACCTAATACATTAATCAATATTTATTAATAGGTTGGAGACTCGGAAATCGGTTAAGCCATTATTCGCGTTTTATTGTTCCAACAAATAATAGTTTATAATGGTCATATATTATTATACACAAGTTTATATAATATATATGTTAAACTACAATCGTGTATAGTGTATACTGATTACTGGGTATTATACTCATATGAACAATATTTATGACATATTTTATTGAGATTATGTACGTAATAAAAAAAATTGGTGGCTTATTCTTCATAGCCCCATTGTTCTGTTGAAATAAATAAAAATAAAAATATACTAATAAAGTCATAAATACGAAAAAAACAAAATTTTCTTACGCAAACAAAATAATTTTATTATTTTTAACAAACATGAAAAATACGAGTATATTATGATTAATACAATGATTTTACAGTGGCGCGGTGTGCTCAATCTGCTGAATCGCTCTGAGGCTTTCGTTGCCAACTCTCGGATTTTAACAACAAAATCCTTGTCACACATACAAACGTGTTCCAACCAATCGTTCCCCCCAACACAGTTCCTTAATAACCTTATTAGTTGAAGCCTTAATTCTAATAAAAAAATGATTTTTCAATAAATATTAAAATAACCATAAAAAGTATGAATATAATATTACATATATCAAATATTGAAATATGAAAATAATGCCATTGTTAAACACCATGGTTTTAAGTTCAGAAAAAACGCCAAACTTTTTACTTAACCTAATGCAATGCCACATACTTATTTTTAATAATAATACTAAATAACCATAGGTGGAGGATATTACTACTGCAGGTTTTGGTCGCAAATTCCTTCACCGTTAAATATTTTACTATTATCGCGGTCAGTCCATCGGACCTTCGTCGTAGGCTTATTATCTCGAACATGGTACAGGAATAAAACATAATTTAATTACAATAATAATAATAAAAACGATACTGATAATAATAGTAAAGCCAAGTTCAGAGTTCCGTCGTCTGTCATGTCGTGTATAAAAGTTGAGCTCTGCCCAAATAGATGAAAATGGTTAGTGGATTATATCATGGTTACAGCTGTCAATTAGATCATGATAAAAGCAAGACAAGACAAACGCCGTAGCTGAGAAAGTGATAACTCGATTTGATTATAACATTATGTTTTTGACCAGCTCGGTATGCACGCTATGGTATAAAATGTGGCAGTCAGGGCAGCAGCCGGTTACTCTGGTACCCGCTGCTCAACTTTGACATAACAGCCATCGGCCAGCTTCAGCGTGGACAAGAACATGAGACGCAGTCGGTCCGGCGTCGGGCACCTGTCGGACGGTAGGAACTTTTGGTGGCGGATCAGCGTGGACACGACCGTCTTCATCTGGAGCATCGCGTACTTGATACCGATGCAGTTTCGGGGTCCGGTGCTGAACGGAATGTAGGCGTACGGGTGCCGCCCGTGACAGGCTTCCGGCAAGAAGTTGTCCGGATCGAATGCATCCGGGCCACGGGCTGTGCCACCGTAGAGCTGCGGACTCAAATGCAGAAACAACGGGCTGACGATCAGCGTGGAGCCTAAGGAATGCAACCCGGGTAAGTGATATTTTATTTTAGCAGTATAATTAGATAACGTATTTTTCGTATACACATGCTGACTCTGTATGTGGTGTTTTCAGCAAAAATTCAAAAACAGATTCGATTTTGGTTTTCGTCAAAAAGATTCAATTGAAAAAAGATGTACATAGTGAAAAATGTAGGTACTTATGTCGGCGGTACAATTTACTTGATTATTTTTTTTTAGTCATTGCACGAATAAATTCTACAAGATTAAAGTGATGATTTTTGTGGTAAAATAGTTTTAGGAAAATATGAACGGTATTTATTTTTTCGTCATCCCCCGTTGATAGTCGTATAATAAATAAATAGAAGGGTCTATCATTTAACCACTAGCGTTAATTTATAAAGGCGCCAAGCGAAATTATTTTTCAAAAAAACCGGATTTCAGATACACATATTTAATTTTTTTCTCAATACGTAATTTGGTATTAACTTATTTTTTCACTTCCGAGAATCATTTAAGAACTAAAGTGGCTAACTATGCCCCCGTTAACTCCAGAGTACAAGCTCTAGCCGAGTCGTTTGTATTGTAGACTTGTAGTGTATGTGACCCTTTCAAAAGCGTTTAATATATAGTCTACCGAAAATATTACGTCCTGTAAAAGCCGTAACAGCGCATACTCTATTACATTTACACCATCACTTGTCGAAACATAAACCATACCGGCCGGGCATAGGTGACCTCCGATTGTCGTGTCTTCGTCCAGGGCTCTGCCGAACACTGGAAGCGGAGGGAAAAGCCTCAGAGTTTCTTTGATCACCCGTTCGAGGTACTCCATCTGAACCAAATCGTTGTACGTGACCGGCCTGTTACGATCTCCGATTGAAAATATTGATTCCTGCTCCTTGAAAACCTGTATAATACATATAAACAGATAATAACAGTAAATTAATGCGCAATTAAGTAACTCATAAATTTTATGTCAGATGTCCAAGTCATTGTACTATTATACTCGGTGTTTAAGCCGTTTAAGGTATACTTATTACAGGAGGTGGCTAGAATGTATCTACTTTTTACGATACATAGACTGCAGTTGTATGTTGTAAGTAATAATCTAATCACTTATACACCGTCCTTCAAATATTAAATACCTTCGTTTTAAGTTCTAAATCTATTTATTATTTTAGGCAGAATATTTTTGGAGGTCCACGGCTTCAAGCATACCTCCTATCCATTAGTAACTAGTCACTATAGCCACTGTATACGGCAGTATACACATGATAAATTGTACATATATTTACCTTGTCTTGTACATCTTGATGATGAGCCAACATGAAAATCACACAAGCATTTGCCATAGCAGTTGTTTCTTGTCCTCCTATATTCGCATATATATTGTTTATAATATACATAAAAATAACGACATACGTCAGAAAATAATATAAACTATTTAGGTATAAATTTTAAAATAATATACTTTGAAAAATACTATTTTACAACAATGATTATAATATCTATAATAATAAAATGCTATGTATAATGTTCATTATACACCAAAATCGTATTTGTGATGCCAAAAATCTTATTATACATTTGTACAACGTGTATTGTCATGTTAACTATAGGTAGAAATTTGTTACTTCTGGAATTATAATTATTTAGTCATATTTTTAAAATAGATTATTTACCACTGTCATACTTGTCAGTCATCATTTTATTGTTAGAAAAGCTTATGAACAATTAAATGAGCAATAAAACAATAAAAAAAATAACAAGAATACTTAAAGAATATTTTGAAGAAACTAAGTTGTTGTAGGTATATAGCCTTATCCAAAAAAATTATTTTCCAAACATTTTTCATTGTTTCATGTGATCTACTATTTATTACTTCTATTATATTTATGTTGTTCATAGTAATTATGATTTTATGACTATAAATCGAATGTTATGGTATTATTACTTAAAAAAATAATTTATCTTTAAAAATTGTTGTTGAAAAAAATTATTATACTAGTACAAATATATAGACAACATATTTAATTGAAAAAAATACTGTCCAGATAAAACTGAAAATATAGCTATAGTAATTGAAACTAAAAATTAAAATCCGAATTATCTTACAATATCCAGTGGAGCAGAAAGCTTAATTTATACAGGAGACAAACTTTTTCCGTGATTAAATCCTGGAAATTTACCAGCCGGCACCCACCAACCATCATTGTAAACGTTATAAGTTTTATGAGTAGTTAATCAGTACAATATTATATTAACAATATAATTATTTTTACATAACTTTTACCAGCTAGGTGTTGATCATTTAGGGCTTTAGACTTAATACGTAATAACCTCAAGTATAATAACTCAATACACGTTTTCGCCTTATATCTACGTAATAAAAATAATGTTTTGTTCCTTTCATAAAGAAATACTTTTTTCAACTAATCAAATTATTTTGTACCGGATCGAGAATCATACAAATGTTATAAAACATATAGTTGTATAGACATACAGTACGTCAGTGCCTAACACAAAAGCACAGTAGCCCAGTCACCTAAACTTGGATGAACCGGAGTACTGGACACTGGTGTGATATAGGTACTCACCAATCATGACTGTTACAAGTTCATCTCGTATCTGCTCGAGAGACATATTTTCATGGGAGTTCTCTAGAAAAATTTTAGTGAGCGTCTCCGTATTTCGTTCATTTTCGTCGTCGTTTGAATTCACATCGTTCTTGCTTCCCGATTTGTCTAATTCAACGATTTTCGTTCTTATTATTTCGTCGGTGAACTCATTAATGATTTTTTGACTACGGTCGTGTTTTCGTTTAATTGACGAAAACTGGAATAACGTACTGCTCAAGTACCATGGATGCGTCATCCTATATTCCCAAGCCTAAAATTATAATACATAAAAATATTTATAGAAGTACCATGTAAGTAAAAGGAACGATAACAAAAATTATCAAAAGAGTGAGCCAAGGTGGGTTGATATTGATATTGATAATAATCAACCTTGGAGTGAACACTTAAATCACATGGAGAAAAGGAGAATTAACAGCAGATTATAGAAAAACTTCTCCGTATATACGACCCACTTAAAGTACAAAAAATATAATATAGGTAGGAGGTACTGCCGAAAGACAAGGCAATTAATGATAAAAGTTAATAATATTAATAATAACTTTTGGAACTTTTATCGTTTAAATGATGTTAAATTACCAACATTTGACATCTGTGCTGATTGTACATTGTGAATTGCTAATTTCAATTTTAAAAAAAATGAAATTAAAATTAATGAAATCCACAACAGTAAAGGAGGATACAATATTGTTTCTCGGGAAAAATACATAAGTACATATTTGTGAATTAAATCTGTTTGGAAGTTAAATTTGTATAATTTTACGTACGTTTTAATGGTATTTTACGCTTACGTACCTACCGCTCCTTAGAAACAATTTAGATGGTGTGATTGAGTTAATTAAAAATGTATTGTATTTTACTTTATGTTTCAAAGTTTACTATATAATAGTGTTTGTATTGACATTAACAGTACCTACCTAAAATAAGTGTATTTGATTGCACAAGAACTGCAAGTTATTTATTAATATTCTTAATGATTATTTTTGAGTAGCAAAATTCTTTCAGTACCTACTTATATATTACGTAATATTACTTTAATATTACGTTATATTACAGTAAAACTGGAAAACCATAGTATTATAAACAAAATATCATTATTATTATCATACGTGCATCGCTGTTAGTAAATTTTCCACAAATCGATTGCAGCCGCCCTTTTGAGCGTTGAACGTGACACCCAAAGCTGTTTTCCCGATCATTTCCATCGTAGCCATGCTGACAGGACCGCTGACGTCACATTCTTTCGATGTCGAGTTGCTATTGTCTCTGAGAATTTCAGCAAGAACGAGTGCTTCTCCGTAAAATATCGGTATAAATTCTTTCAATAGTTTAAAACTAAAACCTTTAGTCATCAATTTTCTGAAAGGTCAAAAAATTATTATGGTGAGTTTATCTGATGTGCAATGGCGAGGGTTTGATTTACAATTAGATTTTGAAAACACACATGCACTTAAATTTGAATCCTCAAATCTATAATAGATTTCGCAGTAATATGATTTAATAATATTATGAAATCACTTTAACTTATAAACGGTAAACCAAGCTGTGAAACATTTAAAACTTATATAACACATTATACAAAATCCAGAAAATTATGAACAAAACTGCTTTAGCCGATGAAGCCACAAGACGTTTCCAGGAAATTATTCATCTAGCAGTAGACATTGTTTAAACCCGCCAAGCAATACATCCCAAAATGACATACAATCTCTAATTCTTACTCTAATTCTAAAATTGATAAAAATAAAACACCAAACCAGGAGATTGTGACAACCCTACCGGTGAACTGTAAATTAGAAAAATCTAAATCACCTAAAAAAAATGTCCATATTTTATTTGAAGAACATAAAATAACATCATACCAAAATTACCTATCTATAATTCATCTTTCAGACTTCAACGTATGGCTAGCTAATAAGCGCTTTATCAAATCAAACGCCTGTGATGTACCTAAACTAAAATCAGATAACGTTTACCTAAGCAAAAATGTCGACAAATACGAACTTTTTGCTAAAACTCTCGAAAATACTTTCTTTCCGATTTATAGATTTCGAAACAGAAAGTAAGGTGTATAACAAACTAGTTGAACCCGATATTCTTCCTCAAAACATACTTCCCAACACCACACCTAATGAAATTATTGAAATAATAAAAAAAAGATGACCAAACAAAAAATCTACAGGATACGATCTCATCACAAATGCTTTAATAAAAAAAATCCCCAAAAAAGCAATCACTTATTTGTGTATATTATTCAACTCATTGTTAAAAATTGGCTATTTTCTAACCAAATGGAAAAAATCTTCAACTATAGTGATAAAAAAATCTGGATACCACAAACCCAAACAGTTACCGGCCCATAAGTCTACTATCTTCACTCTTCAGTCTCAAAAATATTCGAAAAAATCATATACACTAGATTAATAAACCACTTAGATGCAACGGAAGTCATTTCACATCATAAATTTGGTTTTAAGCCAAAACATTCAACTACTCAACAATTCCTCCGCTTAATCGAACATATAAATAATGGTTTTGAAAAAAATGTCATACTGGTACAGCGTTTTTAGACATTTTGTAAGCATATGATCGTGTCTGGCATGGCTCCCTACAGTTTAAATTAAAAACACTAAATACTCATTTTGCGATTTACAACATAATTAAATCCTTCCTCTCTGATCGTTGTTTTTCAGTTATTAATTTATTATAAACGACTCCAACACAGAAATAAAACAGTTAAGAGCCAGTGTTACTCAAGTATCAAAAATGTCTCCCCTGTTTTTTAATTTATACATCGCTGACTTTCCTACTACACATAACAAAGAAGTTCTTCTTTATGTTGATGACAGTATTGTCTATTCAAGCTCCAGCGACGTCTACATTGTCACTGAAAATAAACAGCGACTTAAACAAAATAAAGTGCTGGGTGAAAAAATGGAAAATTTTCCTAAACTCCTCAAAAAGCACAGCAGTATTATTCACACTTTCTCGTCCCAAAACCCCACCCACTCTAATACTTAATGGTGATAACATATCCTGGTCTCCAGCAACAAAATATCTAGGAGCTATCTTCAGGCCCGTGCGCAAGGGGGGGGGGTTGGGGGTTCAAACCCCCCCCCCATGGCCGAAAAATCGTGTTTTTCATGTTTGATCTATTAACTATATGTCATATTTTCTAATCTTAATTGTAATAAATAATAATGCATAACATAATAGTACAATACTATAATAATATAATATAGTGTTGTCTTCACGTTTGCTGTTTNACATTTCTTCGAAAAAATAACAGTTACTAACGACTTCTTTACCTCTTAATCATCGTCAAACCGCCTTAAGTTGGAAATGCTCCCTGCTTCTTTACAAGCAAATTATACGGCCATTATTAGTACTCTATGCTGCCCCTAACTGGGAAAATTGTGCAAAAACCCGCATAAATAAAATTCAAGTCTTTTCATTAAAGATACTAAGAACAATATCAAATGCTCCTTGGTTCGTCAGAAACGAAGGCCTTCACACAGACTTCAAACTTCCAACAGTGAAAGCCTACCACCTTCAAAATCTCACGATAAACTTTTTTGGTCCACTAAACAGTGCAAAAATAATCAATTAGTTAGGTGACCTTGTCAGGAACACCCTATAATTAAAAAAATTAATAAAAAAAATAAAATTATGATTTGGTACCTGTTAACCTTCCATTTATTTATGTCGTCAATCGTAAATATCCCTTGTCCCATGATGGATTGTTGCATAACCATATATTCCTTAGCTTTTCTTAGAAATTTTGGACTGGTAAGAACAAATTCAATATCTTCGGGCCGAGTAAGAATAATATATAATTTATTGAGCAACCAAGCTTTAAACAAAGATTTTTCGTATCTAAAATAATAATATGAATTATAATTTATTTACGTGGTATAGCTGTTAATTTTCAGTTGCAATTATAAATTACATTTCTATTTATTATTTCTAATTCTATTTATTTTTAAAGTAAACTGAAACTACTTATTATTTTATTTAATTATTATGATTTATGACTATTGTTTATATAATTTACAATATTTATTGAGAATTTTGCGAAGTTTAATGTATCATGCATAAGAATGTATCGTAGTCACCCGCCGAAATGATGCTCGACGATATTACAACTGCAACCAATTTACCGCTCCTAAATTACCACAACCAATTTATAGCGATGTATTTACGTGACACCAATTTATCACTTATGACTAAAATAATAAATATTATATTATATTATTATATACAATATATTTGATAGCCAATGTTGATTATTGTATTATATATTTATAAATATTGTAGTAATATTATTAAAAAGTGCTGATGCAAAAAGAGGGGGTCATTAAATTTCAAACCACAATACTTGGAAACTTAACATTTATAAAAAAATTGTGTGCATATTATGTTTCCAATGTATAGTGAGGTTTTGTAACAAAAAACAGACAAAGTTTTAGGAAAGAAAATCCTTATTTACCTATTATTTTAAAGTATAAAAATATCCAAATATTTACTTATTAGTTCTTAGTGTTCTTACTTAATGGGATCAACCTATTAATTTAAATAATTTTGGCATACATTTCAAATACAATATTGCAGTTTAATATTGTGAATTTATGTATTATCTATAGCCCAATAAATTTGAATATGGAGAGATTTTTTTTCAATATTAAAATATACTCAAAAATAATGTTTCAACAGACCACTTATAATAGGTTTTTAAACTAATAACAGTACAGAAGTGTATAGTTAACTATTTTATAAGTTGTTTTATGATAAGAGTACAAAACTCACGCTTGGTATACGACTTTTGCGCTTTTGACTTTTTGTTCAGCCCCTTGTAAGACCAACGGTAATAAGCCCAAAATAAATGTTCCTTCTGGACCTGGTATTCGGTTGCCTAACATCCTTCTTCTCCTGCCTTTAATACTTATTACTATCAAAGCAATCGCCGAAACCGCCAGGAGCGTCATGAAAATTGGAAGCCACATATTTTCACGATCAGTTAAAATTAGTTCTATAATTCTCTGTAAACGTATTTTTGTAAAATAATTAGTAATTTCGTGTTAATATTAGTCATATATTGATCGTTTATAGGCTGCAGACTGTAGTGCTTAACTTGTAAAAATAAATAGTAGAGGCATTCTGATGAGACAAAAAAAAATGTGCACCCATAGCTATTGGCTATACGTAATAAGTCGTGGTGGGCTTAAGGCTTCAACAAACATTTCATAACCTTTTTACCAGTTTAGTGCTTAATTTAAAAGACTTTTGCAAGTAATTGAGGGAGTACTGGTATTTTTTTCAATATATCGATTATAAAGAATAGTTTTAAATATTTTTAATAGGAATCATATTTTTTTTAAATGCTTAATATCAGTTCAAAATTGTAACATTATTGTGTTCTTGTTTAAAAAAGGGGTACGATAAAAAATTTTAAAATATTTAGTTGAGGTATTCAGTTACCCTGCTTCCCATCTCCCGCACATTCACTCTCACACACACACACGCTAAAATATTTTGATGTTAAATTGTACAAGATCCTCATACCGAGTTATATCACAGTTTAACATATATTAATAAAATAAAATTTAGATATAATATATTTTACTTTACCGACGGTTTAGTACCAATAATACACGGAGTTAGCGAAGATGCTGCATCGGTACTCATGTTTCTAGCGGGCCGGAAGATAATTATTATAAATTTAACGAAGTAATCAAAAATAGTTAGGTGTGGTAGGACTCTGTGGCAATACATAAACACGTAAGACGACACACACGTCTTGTTATGTGTAATGTGTACAATTAACATGTAAGTGTAATGTGTAAAATGTAGTAAATTATCGTAAAATATAAATACCATAATGGTGGTGAACCAACATTACACGTGTAGAATATTAAATCACGAATTAAAATATTACTGCTTAAACAACGGGTAGGTAACGCATTAGTATTTATTATATTATGTTTACATACCTTAAAACGTTTGATGTGCTGTATAATATGTTTTTCGTATACCTATAAAATATGTACTAGACGAAAAAGTGTTCATCTATTTTTTTATAGTTGGAAATATGGGTAATAAGGTCTTCTAATTGTTTTTATTCGCACGGAATAAATTAATCGTTTATTGTTTTATCTGTTTGTTAATTTTAAGGCACCATATACTCAAGAGTATAAACTAAAACTGAATAATTTTAAAGTCAAAATTGAAAATAAATTATCATCATAAACTAGATTGAATATTAATTGAAACCAACTATATTCGTAACGCATACCTACTAATAAAATAAATACTGTAAATAGCTTTGGTTAAAAATACGATAGATTTATGCGGAAAAAGTTTTATTTAGTATATTTTATTAACAAAAATTAATTTTACAAGCGAAACTCTGTTTAAGCTTCCTATAGAACTCATCTTAAAAATGTTGTATACGTGTAAACGGTCGATTGAACACCTCTAAACTCGATCAGTTTAAATATTAAAATACAATAGAAATCAATATGTACAGTGTTTCATTACAACTATACGTATTTTGTTCTTATAAATGTAAATCACATGCAATCATTATGATTACATTAACGATAAAGATCAAAGGTTTATAAAAGATGGTCTAGTTATAAATAGTGTCAATAAACTGTTTTTGTAAATATGCTAATAGCCAATACTTTTTGGGAATAGGTATATATTAGTTTTTACAGTATTCAGGTCGAAAAGTTTTACGACTTTTAGATTCTGAGTGGAGCGGTAATCTTTTTTTTTGCATATCATCACGTTTTGGAGTAGGAAAAATATTTCAATCTTCAATTTTGATCACCTGTGGTTTCTGGTAACAAATATATGATCCAGTTTGTTCTTTCGAGTGTTAAAACTTAAAAGTAATATATTCTGAGTACTTTCCATAATGATTAAGAAAACGTAAAAATTAATAAGGAGTAACAAGAATATTTACACCAGTTATGCAAAAACTCGATTTTGTTTTGAAATTCAAATTATAAAAATTTTAGAAAACGAAAAAACATATGATATTTTGCCATTCCTGGCATTTGCCATAAATATTTTAACTCGTTTTAGGAAGTTTAATGTTTATGCGTTTTTATATTTTTGGTTTTAGTCATGCACATTGCAGACAAAGTTATAAATTCGTTTCGTATGCCATAGAATCAGATACATTTAATTTAATTTTGCATTTTTTTGCATACTTAGTTGTTTTTATGAATGAATGCAAATTTCGAAAAATAACTGTGTATTATTGCATATTTCGATGAAGAAAATCATTAAATATACCTATTTTAAACCAGAAAACTAAGAAAAACTAAAAACTAATTGTTAGTTTTATACATTTTTGTATTATTACAACCTATCTACCTATACATATTTTTCTGAGAATTTAAATGAATACAAATTGATTTTCAAACGATTACATTTAGTTAGTTCTAAGTATTTAATGTTTTTATGAGCAGAACAGTGGGGCAACATTTGCGGCGTGTCACTGTGCCATGCCCCATTATCAGCCGAACAAAACTCAGTGAGGATATTTGCCGTATTTTCGTCTATGAACCTAACCTTCGAAATCGGACCTTAAAAAGAATTATCCTGTACCATGGATTGGAAACGAGCGGATGGGCCGGCCCGGGCCACTTAAAGTTTAGGATTGACTTGTGCTGGGGCAGGGGAATCAGCGAGTACGCATCGAGCGTTACTTACATTCATCTACATACATCTACCTAGTTTATATAATGTATACAGGTAGCGCTCGATACGTGGTTCCTGATTCCCCCCTCACAAATCGGCTCCAAATCTTAAGGGGCTCGGTGGCTCTCGTTTCCAGTTCATTCTATCTTAGTCCGTGTCCCCTACCTATAGTGTAAACATTTTATACATTGGTGCCTACAAGGACCTACATTTAAATCTGTAATTTCGCTTTATTTTATACCGTCGTGTATGTATGCGGGGACTTTAGAATTTCCGGACACGAGTGTTGCATGTCTCCGCCGAGCCCCTCCCATAAACACCAAGAGAATAAGAGGAGACCCACACCCACACATTGTTCGCTAAGATCTCGGGGGCTGCCCAGTGCCCATCCACTGCTATGTTGCAACAATATCTTTATACAAGCACAATATTATTAGGAGGTATACGTCCTAACAACTACTCGCACTATATGCGATATAGAATTCAGTATTACTCTATTATTTAAATGTTTACAATATAAACGCGTAAAACGGAAATTTAAACACACTTCACACTAGGCAGGTCGTAGGTTAGATAACGAAATAAAACACAAAATTACCGTTGAGCATGTATGTATTTGTATGTATGTATGTATATATGAATGCGTGTGCGTGTGCGCGTGAGTGTAAGTCTTATAAAATATACTGGAACATAAATTAAATTATTGTCGTGTTTGAGTGGAAGTGACGGCCATTCAAATTTAATCGCAATATCATAAACACAATAATATTAGCGATTATTATTATTACTATATCTAATATCTGTTTTGCGTATAATTGAGTCCGAGTGGCCTATATAGCCGGGGTGTAGCATAAAATTAGACATGTACTTGCACTTCATGACTATGTTATAACATATATGCACGCGGTCTATACCGGTGTAAACATTTTTTTCACATTGCATACAATGTATTGTTAAATATCATTATGCACTTATGATTTATGCTTAAGTATTTAAAATTTGTCGATGGCGAAATGTTGGACTATTATTTTCTGTTTTTGGTAAAGTCCTAGGGTTAAATATTAGTTTATTGATTTATTAGTAATTTATTCGGTGACTGAGAATTGTAAAATATATTAATTTTAAGGGCATATAATATTTTTATTTGATTTATATTTATTATGCCCTCATTCCTATGCTTCCTCTCATAGTGTCATTTTTCTTATCTTATTTATTTTAAATATATATTACACATTTTCACAGTTTTTACTGTCAATTTGTATTTTATCCCTAAAAGCTTTTTTTAATTTTATATTTTGAATTACCTAAATTATAGGCATATCATTATTATTGTGAATGGCGACCAGTACCTACTATAGCTATGTTCCAAGTTTCCTTCGATATTTATTTATTACTTATTAGTCCTATCAGAATTTGGTTGTAATGCTAATTTATGTTTGTCTAGCCATTTTGGATCTAGGGTTAGAGAATTCTAGAAACATAATACAAATATTATAAAATATATAAATACGTATAATATTACAATTTACAGACGTTGAAAAGAGTTAAACGATAAACAAATGTACTAATATATGTTATATACTATAGAACAGGGGTGGCCAGCTAGAAGATTCACGAGCCACCAATATACTCATATAAATAAATATGGAAGAGCCAAAATGGAAAAAAAGGTCATATGTACTCGTATATACAATATATATGATTGTTGAAAACAAGATAAAGTATCGAATCTAATAAAATGTAAAAACAAAATAAACACCCAACAAATAAGAAAATAATTAATAATATTACAAATTCTATCAAGAACACTATATTTTTGTTAATTTTTTTCCATGCATTGTAATATAATAAACTATTATACTTTTTAAAATACATAAATTTATATAAAAAATGTTACGATAAGATGCTAGCCGCAAAAGTCTCTGACACAAGCTGCAGTTTGGCTACCCCTGCTATAGAATATAAAAATGTGTACGTTTATGAAATCATTTCAGAATTATAACAAGAATTTTTATTACAAAATTATGAATATTTTCATCGCGAACGAACCACGGAGCGTTTGAAATATCTGGATTTTGTTTAAATGTACCTAGGTACATTTAAAATATACATATTTAACAGTTTATGAAAAATTAACTCAATCAAATGCAAATGTTTTCCTCCTAGATGTGGGTTTAATAATTAGTTTAGTTAACTACTATTATCTAGGCTCTCTGCCTACTATTATACAAATAAAGGATTTTTTTTTAAACTAAAAATAGTTTTAATGCACTTTATTTTTACTGCTTATTAAGAAATTTTTTAGGACATGGAGTCCTCGGCACTACTCATCAAGTATCTAACATTCCAAATTGAATGCAGAAATGGTGGCGGTGATGGAGGTGATTGACGTAGTTGTGTAGACGCATGGTTGTCTCTGCAGAGTGCAGGTATACGTACTTTTTTGTACGTATTTATTTGTAAAATATATTTATATAGGCGTTGTTACTAAAAACGTCATTTTTTTAATCTGATTTTTAAATTCAAAGCGTGTAATCGTCTTTTCCGAGCATAATGACATGTAAATTTCGGCAACATAGATCACAACAACGGGTCCGCACCATACGCTTCACCATACGATCTTCGCCTATTCTATAGTTATTAACGATTACGATTAAACTACCTATACACTCGTCATGAAAGTGCGTCGCATTATATTTTATTGATGTGAAGTCGGAGTGCAATACAGTCTGTGCATTTTGGTGCTTGTGTCGAATTCAAATTTTCGGGATCCATACGATCGTACAAGGGAGATTGAACACAAATTGTAGTCATGAGATACGTAAGGAAGACTTTGAATTATTATATTTGTACGTTATACAGAGGTCTAAGAGCAGCCGCAGATTAAAGATTATAATATTGTGATATATTTTGTTTAAGTCTATGAGTACATGTCACACACACCCACATGACGTGTGGTTATCGTATAGTACAAACGTACCATTTATACAATTGTCATTTAGTAGAACCAAATAGTTTAAGTGTTGTTAGCTTTAATGTTAGAGCGAATAATCGACGTATTGTTTAATTTATAGAGAAAACATGCACTATTGTCTATATTCTATGGGACAACTCGTAGGTTTTTATTTTGAAGTGCAGAGTCATTACTGTGTAAAATATTACATTTGTAAAATGCTCATAACTCTCTTTAAAATTAAATAATAACAATACAAACTACTGAGGAGATGGATAGAGTTAATATCAAAAAATTATAAAAAATCCTATGAGATGCCTAGAGTCTAGATAATAATCTTACCTTTCATTTGTATAAGAAGTAAATCACTCTAATTTTTAAAATAACAGAGCTAAATCTGCTGAGTGTACCATTTGCTATGTATACTTATAGGACGGAGCTAACACATTCGGGTGTCACGTCCTCTTAAGACAAGCAAAACACATAAAAGTGATATTGAAAAACTTAATTGAATTTTTCAAAATCTCCATCACCTTGAGGAAAAAATGTTTATGGGTACTTATGAACAAGGGATTTTTTTTAAAATCTTTAATTACAATATTTTAGCATGTGACCTAGAAAAGGTTGACGCGTCACCCCTAATTTATACAAATATAAATAAATAAGTAATACATATAAGTAGTTTAGGCAGTGGGTACCTACTCGTAAATCTCGTATCATATAATATTACAGTCTCGTTGTTGTTGTAATACTTATCGTATACCTTCTAATATGGAGCATGATAGGAACTATAGAAACAACAATTTTTGGAGAGGAGGGCTGAATTCATCCCATACTTATACATCAATGTATAGGACAACACCGCCCCCCCTCCCCCATAATTGAGACTATAATCGGGGGATATCTCTATTGTATATATATTTTATTATTTTCTACTTTCTGCAAGCTTCGAACTGCAACTATGTATTTATGCCTATATATAGATACTTTGATACATGTGTTTTAATACGCGTACCATGTAAATAATAATATTATTACAAACAAATGCAGCAAATCAAAACTATTGTCAAAACGACAATGGGACATGTATGGTATGAAAAAAAAAAAATGTTTTCGAACAGCCATTACAACTGCTGTCTAATTAGCATAACATGCAGCCAGACGCGGTACACGATCGGACCGGTGTTATAAGGACATGTAGCTAGGGTGGAACGGTTAATAATACTGTCGTGATCAAAAGCGTTTGTCACACTCACAGACTCGCTAACATATACGCGTGCTCACGCGTGTTATCATGATATATACGTGACTCATTCGTGATTAATAACGATCGAGATTGTTTTGCAGAGGCTGATTTACACGTTGCTGGCCACCGCGCAGGAGCTTCTGTTCGGCAAGAAATTGTTTTTCGACTGGCAGCTCGGCGACAACTGGGCGCTGAAGAGCATGGAGATTTTGGACAAAGAGTTGGCGGCGGTCGAAAATGATCGGAAAGACAGCGGTAGTCCGCGGCCGAAGGACCCGAACCAGCCGGAGTACGTGTACCGCCGGCAGATCGTCTGGTTCAACACCATCGGGTTCCTCGTGCTCCACTTGGGTGCCGTGTACGGCCTGTACTTGTTTTTGACATCGTCGATGGTACTCACTATGCTGTGGAGTGAGTATAATGAGTGATACGTGCAGTATTTGTAACACAGTATATTAGTATAGGCTCTAATTCCGTACGGTTACGATGAGGTGATCTACAAACTTAAAATTGACCACATTCTGTTCCGGAGAATAAATTATTTTGCCAACGTACCTACTGATTTTTATTTAGTGATTTTGTAGGTTTAAAAAATAATTAATTGGCAATCTATGTTTTTGATTTGGAGAAAAATAAATATAATTTGAAGCTGCAGAATGCATATCACATATTGAAAAATACCGTTTTTTTTTATTAATATTTTTAATAAGTAGACATTTTCAGTTTACCCTCAATTAAATTACACAATTTTACTAATTTATGGATAACAATATTTGTTCATCAATATTCTTAAAAAAATATATTTCCGTCCTGTTATAATATCAGGTTGGTTAGATCAAAATTTGTTTATTTTAATGACAAAATACGTGAAAAAAATGTTTTCAAAAACGTTAATTTTGTTGAGAATATCATTATAAATTTTAATGTTTCGGTATACTTAGCATTGCTGGTAGCGGGTGCAAGTGCGTTCTCCGTCACCATGGGCGCTCACAGACTATACACGCACAGGACTTTCAAATGCAACGATTGGGTAAAAGCACTGCTGGTGTTCGGGCAGACGGTCGCTGGACAGGTGAGCCTATATAATATGATACTATTAAAGTTCAACATTTTTGTGGTTTTCTGTTATATATGCGGAAAATTGTCGAACTTAGTGTGCTTGTTATATTTTTCTAAAACGCGTTCTTTCGTTGTCCTTCAGAACTGCTTGTACGTTTGGATCAGAGACCACCGGCAGCATCACAAGTACAGCGACACGGTGGCCGACCCGCACAATGCGTCTCGGGGATTCTTCTTCTCGCACATCGGATGGTTGATGGTGCGCAAACATCCAGAAGTCATTGAGAAGGGCAAGAAGATCGACATGACTGACATCGAAATGGATCCGTACGCCATGTTTCAGAAAAAGTAAGATGTATCCCGTGCTACGGGTAGCCGCCGCTTATGAAACGTCCGTGCCGTACGAGTATTGTTCGATTATAAAGGCACCGATAAAATAATAATTATGTATGCAGTCGCTTTTTCTTCACACGTATTTACATTCACCACTGCGCTGAGTGAAACAAAAATTGGGCTCTACTCGATTTTTACCACACTCTGTAAGTGGTGGTATTACTTTCAATCCAAGTCCAGTTGAAATAATTTACGTTTCACAGTGAATAGTCGTAGAGTTACAAAAACAATGTTGAAAAAAGTCAATCATACGGTGCCTTTAAATCGAACGTCCTCGAGCATACGTGCACATTGAGTACCTATATGTATATGGTCGTAATACCGTTGCCGCACACAGATATTACAAAATACTGTTCACGATCTTGGCCATGCTGATGCCGATGGTGGTGCCATTCGTCCTTTGGGGGGAAACCCTGTGGAATGGCTTCTTCGTGTGCTTCCTGTTTCGACTGATGACAGTCCTGAACTTGACATGGCTGGTCAACAGTGCTGCACATCTGTACGGAAACAAACCATTTACCAAGTGAGTATACATTATTCTATATGACCACATATTGTTTGCTACAAATGTAGTATACCGACCCCACGAGCAAACTTAACAATTGTCGTTCAATAGAGTCAATATTGTGTTGTTAGCTTTAATATTAGATTTAATAATCAAACTCAAGGACGAATTTAAGTGCGGGGTATAACAGGAGGCTGTGGCCTCGGGTCGCTATTTTTTTTATATTTTCATTGTTTTAATACTGTTATGTATTCTCTTTTTCTTTTAAGTTTTAATTAATATTATATTTATCGTACTTACCTAATTTTTTAACATAATTAATAATACTATCATTATCATTATTTTTTTTTTTAAAAAAAAAACCATCTATATTTGATCATAAACTATGATTTATGATAATATAATTAAAGAATTGTCCGTCTCAATCCAATAATAGTTTGAAACGAATGACTTTTTTTCATTATAATTGGGTGGTTTTTTGTTGCTCCTATTAGGTGTCGAATTTCTGAATAGTGCCCTGATCAAACTTTAAGTAAAGAATATTATCTGTGTTTGTACATTGGATTTTTACGATACTTCAAAATGTATTTCATAACTTGCATGGAATTGAAATACTGTGAAATATTTAAGTACGAATACGCGTTGCCAATAATCTCTGACCTTGGCTATCGATTATATAAAAACAAATGTTTCTATAAAATTTTTCCATTTTGAGAAAAACTCAAGATCCGTTCATATCTGTATGTGGGTTAGGTTGGATTGTAAACACACACACACAAATATATTATTATAACAAACGTTTACGTGGGTTCGTTCTCGGTGCAGCGACATAATGCCCGTGGAGAACATTTACGTGTCCATGTTCGGGCTGGGCGAGGGCTGGCACAACTATCACCACTCGTTCCCGTGGGACTATCGGGCCGCCGAGTTTGGGCAGTACTTCAACCTGACCACTATGCTGATCGACTTTTTCGAAGAGATGGGCTGGGTGTGGGACAAGAAGTACGCGACGCCGGCCATGGTCCGGAGCCGAGTGACCAAGCGCGGGGACGGCACCCACTGCAAGTACGCCCGTCCGCAGTCGAAGGACGGCGGCGAGCCCTCCGAGCCCGTGGCCGACGACGACACTTACGAGGAGCTGTTCTGGCTGGAGGAGCGGTCGGCGACGGCCGCCGAGCGTGTGGCCGAGGCTCAGAAGGGCTAAATTTCGCCGGACAATATCACATAATAAATTATACCCAAGTCTATATACACTATATTATATAGTTATTATTATTATTATTATTATTATTATACGTCACCTGTGGATATTTTTAAGAAATATTTTTTTTTCTTATTTTTTATATCAATTTATGTATATGTCGACCGATGACGTGTGGCTCTCTCTCACTCTCTTTCTCGCTGTATGTTCATAATATTCGGGTGGCTTGACGATATCATACCAACATTCATGACAGATGTGTAGGAATCACAAACATTTGTTATTATAATAATGATAATAATATATTATACAGTGCTCGAATTGGAAAAATAAAAGAGATACTTTTGAAGGTACCTTTTTTTAGTATAGGCGACCCCGAAATATAGAATAAATAGTGTAGGAGCTTCGCCAATTCGAGTACTTATTTTACGTATTTAATAAATATCGCGATCTTATTCTATTTTACGAAATCTCAACTTTTACCACTTATTTCAATGCTAAAATTATAGCAGCTATAAACGCTATATGGGTATTAATATAGTGATAATGATAAATATATAATTATTGTCTGCAGTCATTATCTGAAAGAGTCAATAATATAAACGTGTACCTTAATATATCATAATGTTAATAATCTTTGTTGTTGTTTGGAATTATTATAAAATATGTAGATCGTTTAATAGTAATATAGTCGTTTTTTATGTACGTACATGTCTGTACTCGCGTATTTGTGATCTCACTAGTGGGCGTACTTACCTATGTTTTCCTTTTCTTTTGAGAACTAGGCATAACGTATATAGTCCATAATCATTATACTATTATTACTCTTTTTCTTTTAAACTATCGTATTTATATATTGTTATACGGCCTTTCACGTCCGGTAAAGGTTCTGAACAAAATATCTCCGTTTTGGTTCATTATGTAGTATTTTCTCCTAATACTATATAGAAACACGGGTTTACGACTTTGAATCGAAACGCTGCAACTGCAAAGAAAATACGATATCAGAATATTATTGTCATTTGGATGTTCGTTTTATATAAGAACGAACGCTGCCTGGATTTAGGTATACTTAATAATATTTTCTGTATCGTTAACGAATGCTGTGGTTTAAAAAAATTTACAGTAGGTAATTAAAATACGACACATTATGGCCACGGTAGCCAACGTTCCTCCACTGATCACGATCTCGATCGTGACCAATAAAATATGTATGTTTATTATGTTAATATAATGCGTGTAAATACTTGGGTGTAAACAACGAACCCGTAAAATATGATTCCGTTTCTTGTTCGAAAATGTAAAACTATATATGTAATATGCTAATTCGTTGTTTACGCGCTGTACTATACAATATAGTACAAGTAACAGTAAATCACACCCTTTTTTAATTATAATATTATACACGTCGTGTATTACATAATATAATAGGTATTAATTATGTATAAATAGCCGGCACCGTCGCTTACGTTTTTAAAGTTCATCTGTTAGTCAGTGACACTTAAGCTAGTGTACGTATTAATAAGTTTTAAAAAAACACTGTGAGCCCAAGCTACTTAGCTACCCTCCCTTCCCACCCCCACCCCCACCTATGCAGAAGTGTATATAATATATATATGATCAGTGTGACAGTGTCCCGTATTTTATTTTTAATTAATACATTTTAATGAATACACTTTTATTAAATATGTAGGTACTACAACAGAGGTTCTCAACCTTTTTCACTCTATGCCCCCCTTGTAAATTTACTAAAAATCTTATTCCCCTTCCCCTTAAATTAGGGTTTAAGCTAATTTTTTTTTTTGTAAGTGGTACAAATAAAACATACAAAATAACTATATATTACACAATATACAACTATTTACTTTTTACTATTATTTTTTTCATTTTAAAAATGTATTAACTTACGAAGTAAAAATATTAAGTGTAAAAAAAAAATATTGAATATAAAAACAAATATATTAACATAGAGTATAAATAATATCTCGGTCTATTGACTCTATCGCCGTTATACCTAATATATAATTGTTATCGATGCCCGATAATCTTATAAGTTGTAACTAATATAGAGATTTCAATTTTACACATTGTAAAATAACATAATTATTTTCGTAATTCCATCATCACTATATTCGCTCCGAGCAGAATATATCCTCCCCTCCCCGGTTGGGAACCGCTGTACTACAAAATTGTCGACGATTGATGACAAAATAGAATAAAATATGTCTACGAAAAAAATCATAGGTTAGTAGATATATAGGAAATGGGTACACTCCATATTTTTTAGTGGTCATTTTTTAGTAAACTCTTCAAATGTTGATAATAATATGATGGAATATGGAAAAAATAAAAAAACTTATTCACAGCAAGTAATTGTCTACTATTACATGATATAATAAGAAAAACAAAGAATGCCATGAATTTAAACACTATGTCATCTCATGCTCACAGATATAGATACTGCAAAAGTAAAATTCTACATAGCAACACTCAATAGACTGAAATGTATTTAGAAATATATCTCCCTTCGCCACTCACTCTTGAATCTTAACTACGAAGTTAAGACATTAAGATATTCTTAAATTGTAGTACGATTATATGAAGTAAAAATTTTTTTTTTTTTTAAACATTTTATATTTTAAAATGAGAATTACGGATTTGATTTTACCCAAAATATTTAATATGATATTATTATTGTAATGAATGATGTAAGTATAACTAAATGAAACCTAGTTTTCCATATTAGGCTGTACACTTTTGCAACGGTCACCGTCTAGTGGGTAACGTAACTCTAGATAGGTCCGTGTGTATAGTGTGTTTACCTGACTATATTCTATTTCAGTCAGACCAGGCGCGTATACAAGGGGGGGGGTTCTAGGGGTTCAACCCCCCCCCCGAAATTTCATGAAATAAGTTTTATTATTTGTTAGTTTGGTTTTATTTAATTTTCCGCATTCGTAATATGAATTACATTCTGGTTTAGTGCTCGATCTTCATCTACAATCGTTAATCGGACCACTACCTACATGATCACATCAAAATAAATATAGATTTCATATGAAACCCCGATGCAAGCCGATATAATTTTTATTACAATATAGCAACGATGAATGAAGTTTGACGGAAGTCAAATTTCCAGTGATTTCTATCCAAATATAAAGTGCCTTTTAACAATATTAGCTTCTTTGTCTGTAACGACCGTTACTGCAGAGCGTTCATTTTCAATATTGCGGAGACTGAAAACCTATTTGAGAAATAATATTGGACAAGACCGGCTGACAGGATTAGCGCTCATTAATATTTATAGAAACGATAACATTGATATTGACGAAGTCATTAACAGATTTGCAAGACTACCTCGAAAATTAGATTTTATATTATAAAAATACACGTTTTTAACAATTATTTTTTTTTTTAAGTATGACGTTTTTTATAAGAAATAAATAGTACTATAATTGAAATTGTGTAAACTCCTTGTTAGGTCATAGGTTAAGTTAGATTATATAAGTATGAACATTTACAAGCAAACCCCCCCCAAAATTTTTTTTTTGTGTACGCGCCTGAGTCAGACGAGGAGAACGAATACGACATCGAGTCACGCGTGTTATAATATAATATCATCATTAATCATTGTCGTGGCAGAAAATTACAAGATAGTAAAATATCTATTATAAGCGTTTACCCCGTTTCCGATTCCCAACGGTCGTGCATTATAATTACACTAATATACGATAGGCAAATGACAATGCTGCGTATAAAATATTACAATAACGTAGTGTTGCAGTATTACGATTTGATTGGTTATTAATTGCCGGCCATTAGGTCCACGATATCCCGATGACGAACATAATTATTATTACACTCTCACCGCAGTCGCGCACGAACCATGGTTCACGGGTTACCATCACTCACCGAATCGCCACTCGTGCGATCTTTCGGAAGTTTTGCCGCAGTTTACGTTGGACGTCATTATTGTATGCGTATTCTTAAGATTTTTTTATGGCAAAAATAAAATGTTTCATCTGTACTGCTCATGATTAGAGTATTGTTTGATGTACCTACAACGTATGTTATACACTCGACGAACATATTATTCGCGAGCGATGGAGTTATCGCTGCAGTTATTGTCTTTAATCGCATTGCTGTTGTGTCACCCTGTCGTTTTGGTGTCGCTCCGACGGAATATCACTAGAAATGTAAGTATGCAATATAAACTATAATAATATAGCCAGATCGAAGTCTAGTGACATAATCGCTTTTTGGGGATGCCGAGAGGGTCGTTTTTTTTTTTGCTACATAGAATTGAAGAAGGTGCATCAATCCATATACACATGTGTTTTGACTTTCGACATTTTTAAGCTGATGAATTTTACATGGTAGTATCATATAAAACAATTTTATTTATCACTAAAGCCGAGAGTGTATTTTCGATTTTGTGAACTTTCTGGGTCGCAATATTTTACACACGCAATATTATTATTACTTTTTTTTTTATTAAATATAGTTCTCTGTTTCATGGCTCATTGGGAGACACCACTTATGAGAGGTACACTTGTTTTTAAACTAATAATATTCTTATTGTAATATTAAGTAATAATAACATAACTGTATAACAAGAATAGAACTTATTATGTGCTTAAAATGTAAAATATCATGATGATTTTCATGTTGTAAATATTTTCGTTTTTAAATGCTTAGAACACTGAGTTCAACACTACCTCTCCCAAATATTAGGTGTCTTAATCATTTAAATATTGAACACTACAGGACCGTATTAGCACATAGGTCTAGGGCCTACGGTAATGTTAATTTGGGCCTGACAGCAAGTACTAGTCGAGATTAGGAAAAAACCTGAAATGGCGATTTTTTGCTTTAAATACTGTGATGGTTTTATTCTCCTTTCAACTAAAACAAAATTGTGAAGTAGAGGGAAAGAACTAGACAAAAAGATGGTTTGTGAACATCATCGTAGTATTTTATACTGTAAAATATTATTATTATATACGCACAACTGTAGGCAAATACCCATGATGTTGAAATCTTTACTTTAAATTTTAAAAAAATACACGTTCTTAATTATAATATTATTTTTTAAGAGGATGTCAGCACACAGTTTGTTTTCTCTCTTTTGTCCACTTGCAATATATAGACAAATGAATTTGCGCAGATTTTACTTAGTAGTTTGTCTAAATGTTGTCTCAAAACAATTTAAACAACTTTTAAATTTACAATTTTTTTTTTTTAGAGGGCAAATAATAATAAAATATAAAACCTATACGTCCACGCCTCAAACATATAATCCTCTATTCCTCTATAATTTTGGCAATAGGTGATTTTACTTCAAGTTAACCCAAAAATCATAAAAAACTATTTTAAGTGAAAGTTATATCCACATGGGTCTGAGAGAGAAAACAAATATTGCCTAACTTAGGCAATATTATAATGCTACTTTTTAATTATATCAATGAGATAATAAATCAACATTATAATATATTATGGTACATGAATATATTATTATATATTCTTCGAAATATTTTGAAATTTATTTTGTTTTATACAACTAAACATTAGAACATAAAAATAATAATATTGTCTAAAACATGCACCATGTCTAAGAGGAAATTGGTCTACATTCCGTTAGAATCGTTAGATAAACGCAATGTATTTCTCTTTTAACTATAATTTTTGAGCTCGCCGAAATACACAATGATAGACCTGTTCACATAATAATATCGAAACGTCTTGTACTTAAATGCAATAAACGGGTGAGCATAAGGCCTGTTTCTATTTCACATCGTTACTGAAGATTTTATTTATTTATTTATTATTATAGAAACGCCAATCGGCAATTTTATCGACACAGAAAGACTTAAAAATGTTTGTGGTGATAAAATCAGTTGAAGACAACAACCGATATACATTGTCATATAATTTATTATACTATCTTCACTATCAACTATCAAATTGTTCGATTCATTTATAATATATAGGCATGTATCTGCGTTCCCATGGTTTGTAGATGCGTACTTGGCAAGTACTTCATCAAGTACTTGCCAAGTGCCAAATATTCGTCATTGGTGAGTTATGGATGAGTTAATTTTTTTCTTGCCATGGCGGTAATCGGTTCGCTTCTACAATTATTTTTCGTGGAAATATCATGTATATTAACATTATATTTAATTGCCACCCTACATAGGTATATGGCCGCGGGAACCAAAGGACTAACGACGAAGCAGTGAATTCGAGATGTCAACCGTGCAGTGAGACACTTAACATTATTATAATATTATGCTTAAGGGGAAGGTATATTCGTATATGTTCGATATGCGGGTATTTGGTAATATCTGCGGGGAGGGGGGTTGACAAAAATAAACATGGACTACGCGCGAGTATTGAGTGTTATTATGAATGTTACGGGAGTATTCGTCAATCTTATAGAGGTACTTAAGATCTCCCCAAACCCTCATCCTATAATAACGGCCTACGGGTGTTTCACATTCGTAATTTACGCCTTCTGTTAACATGGAAAAATTAGGTCCAACAGAACACGTTTCGTTACGCTATGTTCGATATTTAAGGGAGCACGTAAAATCTTCACTCTATTTTTCAGAGAGACAGTAGCTGTATTATTTTTTACAGTTATTGACTTTCCAATAAATTTACGTACTGTATATTATGACTCTGGCTTTTATTCGCATTTATTACGTATTGCGTGCAGCGTGTGGTATTGGATATCCCGGAACAAGGATCGTGGGAGGCAGCGAAGTCAGGGAGAACGAATATCCTTGGATGGCTTCGCTGTGGAACGCCAAGAGGAAGTTCTTCTGCGGCGGTTCCATCGTCACTGATCAGTACGTGCTCACGGCTGCCCACTGTTTGAGGTACCTAAACGATTTATCAACCATGCCTACTAACTAATGTAAAAACTATTATATAAACACGACAACCACGTAGAGAACAATTTTGTATTTTCCCGTCTTTAAGTACACATACGCACCAAAGTGCCAACACACTTTTTCCAGGATTCCTATAGTAATCGAGTTGGTAGGTTGGATTATATAAATAGTTTCAAGAAAAAAACATGATCTTTTTTCAGTTCCTCTCTTTCCACGAGCTATAAATATAGAAACAATTCCCTCCTGGCCTTCAAAAAATATTAAATAATATATCTTTAATTATTGTCAAATTGTCTTGAAACAGCGAAAACGTAATGTCTTGGTAAACAAAACCATAAATACGTATGATAATGTAGTATTTCAAAGTAAATACGAGCATTGCAATTTGAAGCATAAATATTGGTAGTCTTGATTTAATGATATAAAATTGAATATGCGATATGCCCTAGGCCTAGAATGGAAAAAATCTCCGAATAATAAAAATGCATTAGGTACAAGAATATCTATGAACTAATAACTTTTTATTTTCCATTCGTGAATTAATTTTCAACTTATAATATGATATTAATTATACATATAAATACTAATGTCTAATGACGAATTATGTATATGTCTTAAGTCTGTAGGCTGCAAAATAGTATGCAATATGCAAATGTTGAACCCTGCAACGTCCTATGCTCATAAATGACTCGAAATGAAATCGAAACTATTTGATAATATTTGTACCAATCCTCCCCCCCCCCCCCCCCACACACACATACAAATTATCCAAACATAATAATAATAAATTATGACTGCTGCACATATAAGTGAAGTACCGGTTACCAATTACCGAGAGATACACGTTGTGTTCGGGCAGACTAGAAGACCCGCAAGACTGTATCAGGGCGGACCTCACGTCATCCGCGCAGCAGTAGTGAAGATCCACCACAAGTATGACCGACAGGGAGCGAATGTGCACGACAACGACATAGCGCTGGTCAAGATGGTTAGACCCGTGAAATTCGAACGCACTGCCCAGCCTATTTGTCTGCCTATGATCAGTAAGCGAATTCATATAAAAAACTAAACTGCTGAGCGTTTGTCGACGACATACGTTGTTCTATGAACCAATCTGTAAGATTATATTTTATAAGTCGTATTTCCAAAAAAAATTTTTTTTTACTGCAAAATTTCGACGTTTCGCGTAACTATTGTAAATATAATCTACCTACTAGGTAGATTAAATATTCTTGAAAAATTATTAAAATAATCGACACCTACCATATTTTAATATTCAAAGTGAATAGACTAGAGTTATATTATATAAAATATCTTATGCTTGTATAAAGCACTAACTATAGCCATGAATATAGAAATCTGAAACTGGTGGAGAGGGTAGGCTATTTTTTTTCAGAAAATCTACTAATATAATTTAGCACATATTATCAGTATAGATCAGAGGTATTCAAACTGTGCGTCGCTGCTACCAGGGGCGTCGTGGGAGTTGTCGAAGAGAGCCGCGTAGTATAATTGAAAACCAATAAATATTTTTATGAAAAACGTTTACTAATATCATTGAGGCACACCGGTTGGGAAACGTTGAATTGTCTACAACAATCATTCGCTGAATATAGCTTTAATTTATTTTAGGTATGTAAGAGGGTAAATAAATTCTAAAAATATATTCTAAAATATAAATTACAATCATATAAAGTATAAACATTGATTTTTTTATCATTTATAATTTGGGAGCCGTCGACATTTTGTGAAGACTTAAAGGAGCCGTGGGATGAAAAAGTTTGAATACCTCAGGTATAGATGGTATTGTATTATATATTTTTCAAAATCATGACAAATTAGATAATATATATAACATGTAAGTGGATAACACATCCAAATGGCTGGTCTGACGAGAAGTGGGGAAAATGAAGAATTCTTCCCTGGGTCGGAAATTTGGATCCACTGCATTTTTTTAAACTAAAGAAACAATTAAAAATAAGAATTTTATAAGATTTATTCTATTAGGTACTAACAGTTACTTGACAAAGTTAATGATAGGTAGTCAAAAATAGTGGGGCTTCTAATTTACCCTAAGTATTACCCTCTGGCCTATGTTTCTCTCTCCACAGTCTTGTCAAATGGTAGGAGCTAAAGACTAAACCCCTTAGATCCCTCCTAGATCTGAGCCTACATCGACGAAGGTTGATTTTTACGGTTAGTATACGAAGGATTCCGACTCTAGGGGCACAATTTTAATGAAAAAAGTGGGGGTGCTGAAGCTCCTTTGTTTTTTTTCATATTATCTTATGGTTGTGGATACCTGCATAATAACTATTAAATTGTAAATAAATATGAAACAATTTGGGGGTGCTAAGCACCCCCAAGCACCCGGGAAATTGCGTTCCGAGGGGAACAACAAACAAAGCAATTCATATTTTCCTACAAAAATATAGTTAGAATGTTAGATTAACTACAAAATGTATAATAATTAAATAGCTAAAGTTATTCCTGCTATTCTTTGTAAATAAAGCGTGTAAACCAGGGATGGCCAACCCAAATGATTTTGCGGGCCACTTTGTAAATACATAACAATCCTGCGGGCCACATTAGGGTTGCCAAAAAAAAAAAAAAAAAGGTCATCAGCCAAAATATTAATATAATACACATATTTTTTTTTATTCAGAATTAGGCCACCTATAAAATTATAAAAGTATTTAAAACAAATTAAAATATATAAAAGTAATAATAAAAAGTATTTAATACAAAAAAAATGGAGTTAACATTACTATACTATTTAGTGAGATCTTTTTTTCTCAACTCGTTCACTAAGCTTTTTTAAATCAATAGAGATGCTTGTATTTGCACACCGTAATTGATGTTGCAGGTTTTCATCCGTCAAGTTTGAGCGTGATTTATCTTTGGCGAATTTCATTTTTGAAAAAAACGATTCACAAGTGTAAGTCGATCCAAAAGCACTCACAACTTTTTGTGCCAGATTTCTCAAATTGGGAAAATTTTCTTTTGTGATGTTAATATTATAAAAATCTATTTTTGATTTTGATGTTTCAAAAATGTGTTTTAATTCATTATTGCATTGTAAGTCAATGAGTTCCATTTGAAGATATTCTGGGGCCGAATTGACATCAGTATGAAAAGGAGATGAATATATTTCAAATATTGTCTTGTATTTGTCTAAATTAGTGAAACGACTTTCAAAAGCAGCTATAAGTTTCCTTATTTCTTGTGCATATTTAATGCTTTCGATATGTTTTGAATTTTTCAATTCGTTTAGCAATGGAAAGTGTTGAACGTTATTATTTTTTAATTGAAATTCAAATAACAATAATTTCTTCTGAAATGCATTGATGTAATTACATGAGTCAATTATTAAATTATCTTTTCCTTGTAATGATACATTTAATTGGTTCAGTTTTTCGACAATATCCACTAAAAAGCATAAATCTACTAACCATTCATCATTAGTTAATTCTACTACTGGTTTTTGTTTATCATTCATAAACAAGTCTATTTCATGACGTAACTCATAAAATCGCTTTAAACATTTTCCACGACTTAACCATCTGACATGACTGAAATATACTACGTCACCATATTCTGAATCCAATTCTTTCAGGAACTCCTTAAATTGTCGGTGGGGAAGGGCATGCGATCGAATGTAATTCACTGTTTTTATGACTACTTGCATAACATGGTTCATCGATAATACTTGAGAACATAGATTTTGTTGATGAATCAAACAATGGATTATAAATAAATCATCTCTTTTCCAGAAATTATTAGTTTTTCTGGTAGATTCTATTTTATCGATCAGTAATTTTATAGCTCCTTTTTCTTTACCAACCATAGCAGGTGCACCATCAGTTGATATTCCAGAAATAATTTCCAAATCCAAATTGTTTTCGCATAAACTGTTTTACACTGTAAACCATTTAACTTATAGCATTAACGGAATTCGACCACTTATTACATATAATTGGAAATTAATAACTATAGGTACAGTATTATATACAATTTAATTAATGTTAAAATATCAATACACAAGGCTACAGAGGCTGCAAAGTACAATCAAACAATACTAATTACCAAATAATTTAATCATTAAAATCATTATCTATAGGTATACCTACTTTATTTTACTGTTTAAGTTCAACCATAATCTATAAACGTAAATAGTAATGTTATTTCCTGCGGTTCCTACCTTTTTGATTTCATTGCACCTCCACATAAACCGTTTATCGTCATCACGATTATGATACTTAGGGTACGACTACGGTGGGTTGACCGCGGCCGTGGCCGGGTGGGGGCAGTTGAGCGAGGACAGTGGCACGTCGCTGAGTCTCAGGCACGCCACGCTTCCTGTGTGGACCGAAAAGGAATGCACCGCCGTTCCCGAGATCGAGAAAACGGGATACACGTCCAACATGATGTGCGCCGGGCTCCGGGATGGAGGAGTGGATTCGTGTCAGGTATCTATATATATAAACATACTAATAAATACTTCTATACACTTATAGGTACTTCCTAATTAGGAATATTACTTATAGCTGTCGGTATTCGTACATCAATAGTCATTCATAGGATAGATAAGAATTCTATTTTCCTCCAATTTTTTTTTTGAATAAAATAACCACTGTATCCTCCAAATGCTAAAATATTTAGCCAATATTTTAGACGAAACCTGGCATCAGTATTGTGTACTTGTGTACTGTATCATAAAGTAGGAGTAATATTAGATTCAATTGTAAGGTCTTAAGTTTTGTTAGGCCTATAGGTTATTAAGATACTTATATGGGTAATATGTATAATGTATGGGTACCTTTTATTGTGTACCTATCAGCAAGGCCGTATCCAGACATTTTTTGGGGTGAGGGGGGGGGGGAGCAAAACATGTACAATGTAATTTTATCAAATTTAGGTTTTTGATAGTTTGTTAAAAATAAAACAAAAAAAAATTAATCTTCATTTATTAATGTATATTAAAAAGAAACAAATTTACTTTGACATCTTGTCACCTTAAATTATACAAAACATGAAAAATAAATTCAGAAATAAAAATAAACAATTTATTATTACAACATCATGTTTTAAACTAATATTATGCTCCTATCTTTTTGAAAAGCAAACTGGCTTAAAACTTCTTCGGGATCAACCGTAACATTTCTATGGACACATTTCTATGGTCTCTCTTGTCCTTCTATAATTAATTTTATATTCTTGTTCTTAATCGTCGCTGACCGGCATCGATAGCGGTCGTTGTCCATAAATAACAAACAATCTATTATTAGATGTTCTAATTATATTTTAATATATTATGATACAAAACAGTGATAATGGGAAAACAGACAATAGTTAATTTAAATAATTTAATTGGAGTTAAAATCATTTATGTCTGAAAATATATATGTTGGTATTGAAAATAGTTATTTTAAACATGTGTAAGATATTGAAGACATTCAGGGGGGTCCGGACCCCTCGTACCCCCCCCCCACAAATAGGCCTTGCCTATCGGGCATCGGCTATCAGTAAAGTTATCATTGATTATTATGATGGTTCTTATAATGATTATATAGTACAATATAGACTTGTGTGAAATCAATACAAGAATGTTAGATACTTATCATACTTATACAAAGTGTAACATAATGATCTAACAGATGAAATAATATTTGTTCAATATTTTAACAGCTTAGATTCTGAGAGTAGCGAATGAATGTATTGTAATTACAACGATGAGCGTGTATTTTTTTTTTTTGGTTTTTTTTCTGTCCTCAACATTTGAGGTAGTAAAAATGCTCTGATTTTTGATATCTGCATCTTTTTTTGATAGAAAAGTGAATCAAGTTGATACTTTCTAGTTGAGTGGCGTAGCCAGGGGGGGGGGCTGAGGGGTCTGCAGCCCCCCCGAAATGTTAATAAAATTAAAAATTTTTTTTAATGGTCTATACTCTATGGTATTCGATCAAAAACTAAACCACCGCTGTGTAAAAAATTGATCAACCCCCCCTGAAAAAAAATCCTGACTACGCCACTGAAGTAGTTATAAGAAAAACAAAATAAAAGTGGTAATTTGTACATAGAAGTATAGAACCAATTTTTGAAAAAAAAGCTTTTTTCTTGTGGAACTAAAAAATTAACAACAGTAGCCATTTGAAATTTTTATCATATATTTATACTGAAATTTTTCATGTATTTTAACATTTTCGAAATATTTTGATTAATAACTACTAGTTTTTGAGTTTATTATAGCCTTGGGGAATTTTTAAAATGTTATAATTGTTTTAAAATTATTCTCGATTATTACTTTTTTACTTAATAAAAAAGCTTAAAAATTTAATGTCAGGTTCCTTATAAGTTTAATTAATGGAAGTTAAAAAATATTGAGAATACATTGACATTTTGTATATGTATATGAAGTTCAAATGTTGACAAAATTCATCAAAATCTCGAAGTTTTCAAATTATTTTTCAGTTACAAAATGTATAAGTTTTTCTTTTCATAGCTAACATTGGACATTTTGATTGAAGATTTCCCAGTAATTTTATTCCTTAAACAGAAAAAAAGTTTACCGAATAATATAACATAATTTTTCGTAAGCTTTTAAATTTAAAATTTGTACGATATTGGATTTCCAATGGTAAATAAACGAATTTTCATTTATAGATTTTTCATATTTTGTAGTGAATCAAAAATAATTAAAAGCAGACACTAGACATTTTCACCAAATCTTAAAATAACCATATTTTTTGCATGGTAAGTCACATTTTCAAACTATTTCGACTCTTTTCGAGCTATTTATAAATGTTGTAAATGTATAAACGTTTTTCCATGAGATATATTATTATATTTTATATATACAATGGATTTTCAAGTGTAATTTTTCGACAGAAATCAATTTAACCTACTCTAGTATTAATTCCTATTAGGTAGTAAAATAAATCACAATATCATAAAATACACCTGCTTATTAATATTATAATAATTAATATGATAGACCGTCTTCGCTTAGAATTGTTTTTCGTATACAATGATTTTATATGATTGAATTCAAATTTGACACATCCATGAGACGGTGACTCTATAGACGCCTAATGTACAGTAGACTGTTACCCTCGTATTCACTTTTTTTGTATTTTTCATTTGTCAGGTATTTTCATATTCATTACACTCTGTATGTGTAGCTAATATATACCTATATAATATCACTTGAGCAATTATCATAATTGTATTAATCATACACAATAAACATTATGTTTATGCATAATTCCTAATTGGAGGATAATGGACATTTGAAGAAAACGGCTAAGGCTCCTGGGGTGTGCCAATTTTTGACGCAATTTGGTCAGGATTTAGTGATGGGACAGAACTGTAAATTCTAGGTGAAGTGATTTTATCGTTAAGCCACTGCTGGAAAAAAATCAACCGAGCTTGCCATCAATCTCTTGCATTGGTCATTGAAGGTTGAACAATTATTGTTTTAGGGCGACAGCGGTGGACCTCTGATGCTTCAAGATAATAGTGAAAAAATAACAGTGGCAGGTGAGCTGACATCAAACATTATAATTAATAATATATATTTTCAAGTTATATAATAGATATCATAACGGTAATCGTGTAAAATGGTTCATTTTCCAGGTATCGTTTCTTGGGGCATTGGGTGTGGAGCTCCAAAACTCCCTGGAGTGTACACGAGGGTCGACAAATATCTGGGATGGATAATGAGAAACACGAAAGACAGTTGCCACTGTACTAACTGAATCCAGTTTTCATGACTGTTGTACACTACTGTAAAAATGCTAGTTCCACCTTTTAATTAGGTATTATTTATTATTTATATCATATACGATAACCTTATTTAATACCACTCGGTACACATTACTTGGGATACATTTTATTATGAGCCATTAAGAAAGAAACACCTATTTAAAATAAATACTCAAATAATATTCTGAGAAACTCATTCTACTATGTACCTAATGAGTAGGTAGGTCGCACTAGGTATGTAACACGTTAGTGGCGTAGCCACGAATGTTATATGGGAGGGGGGGGGAGCTATAAGGTTTTCGTAAAATATTTTTTTTAATACGTGCAATAATTAACACGGTCAATGGGGGAAATTAGAAATTCAAATAAACATTAATTTTCATAGGTAACATAGAAAATGTAATAGGAGATACCTTAAAAAAAGTTTACCGGAAAGTAATATTCATTTTTTATGGGCGTTTAAATTTAAAATTTGGTAAATTTAATATTTACTGGTAAATTAACAAATTCCCATTAATCGATTATTTTAAATGTTGTATTAGAATAACCAATATTTTAATTATAGGTAAATTGGTACATAGATTAAAATTGGGGATGAAAGTAGGAGCACATATGTTCATATACAAGGTTTAACAAAAAGATCTGAAAAAGAAAATGTATGCTACTTAAACATATTATAAAAATTGTGAAAATTATATGGATAATAATATTTTAAAAAAAAGCTGATGTCAAAATAATATTCTGAAAAAAATTATTACATTTTAAATTAATTTACTCCGAAAAATAAATTACTTGACTTAGATAAATGTTTTAACCATCAAAATTCTTCTAATAATAAGATTTAAAAATTGGATATTTTGAAATTTTTCAAAAACTTTGAATCACATTTTAAAATTTGAGTTTTCAGTTTCAAAAGAAAAAAAAATTAAAAAATGTATGCAATTAATAATTTTTTTTTTTAAATAGTCATTACAATTTTTAACAATTTATTCCATTAGTCAGTTCTTTCAGTTACACCCTGTATAACAAGTGTTTTAATCTCTATGCTTGGAGTGGTTAACTTAATGCGTAGGAGTATAAAAAGAACAAACATAGATAGATGATCATTTTACTTTTATATATAGAGATGTATTAAGTATATTATATAAAATGCTCTTTTTTTTTTAATACAAAAGACAAAACTATGCACTTATTACACATTTAAGTATTTGTTTTTATTTTTTGGACAGTTAAAAAGTAAAGATCCACAGTTTATAATTAATACCAAAATAAAAACTAAAGGTTCCTAAAAAAAGTCATAAAATTTATGTACACATATTTTCATCACAGTTTTTTTCTAACTTATTAATATATATCTCCCATTACAAATTCGACAATTGTTATAGGAAATTCTTCAATCAATAACCACTCAACATCACAACATTGAGAATCTACAACTAATTCTGTTTTTGCAATATAAATCGCTAAAGATAATACGTTTCATCAAAACACAGTTGATCCGTCATCAGTCTCTACTTTTGAATAACTTGAAGTATTTGGTCGCCTTCTGTGGTTAGTACTTCGCCGCCCTTCAATTAAAAGTGCTATTATCTGAAATGAAATAATGTTTTTTAAGAATAGTTTGAAGAGAGAAAGAGAGAGGTGATAAAGAATCTTTTATGTAAACATGTTTATTTACGATATATTTCTTATTTATTTTTGTTAGATAATGTCGAATAATTTATTATTAAATGTATTTTAATGTAATGTCCTAACTGGTGTGTGTGATTTCTGTTCTGACCACACTGCTCTACAATACGTTGCCTGTATGTGATGATTGCAAACTATTTTGTTTATCCCGCATGCATGCAAATCAGCTGGGACATGGCATTAGAATGTATTTACAATTCAAAAAAAAACATTCAAGAAAAAAATTAGTTTTAAAAATTGTTTGCTTACTTTTTTTTTATTGTATAACGCTAAATAAAACAGCATTGATAGTATAGTCATTATGCTGAAGTAGAAAAGGAAGTGTGAGTCTTCCGTATCGCCAAACGCAGGATTTGTAAATTTAGGCTTAAGACCCAATCTTGATACAACCTCTTTGGTCTCTGCAAAAATATGATGCATGTATATTATTTTAATTTTAAAAATCTCAAGATATATGCCAAAATAAAAAATGTTACTATTGCAACAATTTTAAACAACAATATAAAATACTTTATTCTCATGTTGTATTTAAGTATAATCTAAGAACTGTGGTGGTACCTATAATTTCTATAACATATCAATAGAATTTTATTTTGTTAATTTAACAGTGTATATAAAGTATATTATACTAATATATAAAATTATATTATAAATAATATTATGTTGTATTGTTTTGAAAAATTACCTACTCATTGCATTAATGATTCAAGTACATTGCTATATACTGAAGTATAATTTATTATAAAAATATATTTAAATTAATTTAAGTTTCATATAGTGATTAAAATAATTACAAATTAATCGTTATTTTAGTTTGATAAAAATGGTACAATAAACACCATAATTAATGGGCTTCGAGATGAACTTGATCAGTCATGCCCGTTATCTTCTTGAAGAATTAATAAAAAATAAATATTATCAACAAAAGTATGAACAAAATATATATTTTCAGTTTAGCAATTTGAAAACAAAACAAACTAAGTTTACCTGATTGGTTAATGGTACCATCATTCTCTTTAGGATAATCAACACTAGATTCTAAAAGAAATACACATATATAATATTGAATTATAAATAATACATCAAATCTAAGACAGTATGGTTATGGATATTAAATAGGTACTCACTTGAATCAGGTTTAGAATCAATTGGAGTTTGGGCCTCTAATTCTTCAATTTGTTTTTCATCTTCAGTGGCAGTTTCATCCTCTTCAAGGTTAGTATTATTATCCTTTGGTACTTCTGCCGGGAGTTCCTCGTCATTATTACTATCATTATTGACATCAACTAATTTTTGATTATCGTCTGCCTAAATAATATTTTAGTCAATTATTGAATTAGTCCTAAGAATTAGTTGAATTAATCCTAACTACATATTACTATATTATATCTATATAAAATTGGGTTGACATTGGTGTATTCAAGAAAAAATGATGTTAAATATAGTTGATTGAGTTTCTACTCTCTACAAAGTTAACTAAACAAAATCAGTATTATTAATACAAAAATTCAATTCTTAAATAAACAATTAAAAATATATTTTATACCTAGTATCATTGCCGCATAAGTATAACTTAAATTAATTTGATTTCAAAAGTATCTAGTAGTTATTTACTAAATGTAACTGTATAATATACCAAACTTATTGATTAAGAAATGTTATAAGCCGGGCTCGTAAGTTCAAGCATTTGCATGTTTTTCTTGCAACACAGGAAAACATACTAACTGAGATACAAATTTGTTTTATAACAATAGATATAAATATGTAAAGTTTAATAGAGCATATTTTCCCATATTTTGGGTGTAAAGGCATATTTAGCATGTACTAGATTTTTTAGTTGTTAGCGCATATTTTTTTCATAAAAAACAAATTATTTGAATTTTTTTATTCTCGTACGACCACAGGATCTAATAATAATAATAATAATAATAATGTAATAATGACAACAAAGTGTTGATCTGTAAAGTTAGATTTTTGAGTGGTGTAAAATGTATAAAAATGAAGAGAAATTAAATTTGGATAAAAGATAGATACATTTTATTATTTCAAAATTTACCAACGATTTATTTATATCATGCATAATTTTAAAATGTTAGTGCGCATAAATGCATATTTCTGAATTTTTAGTGCATGAATGCACGCTAATTAACACATTTTTCAGTGCACAAACTTACGAGCCCTGATTATAAGATATGGTTATTTTTAAATATTATTATACTTACGTCTACTTTATTTTTAGGAGATTTATCAACTTCAATTTGAGGTAGGCCCTCAGGTTTTTTTGGATCTTCAATAACGGCACTAGGAACAACTGATTCTTTAAGGTTTTTTGATGAATTGATAATATTTTTTTTTATAGCTTAAAGCAAAAATTAAATATAGAATTTTGCATAGACAGTATAAGATAGTATTTAGATACTTACATGTTTTAGACTTTTCCAAACGGCTATCGTGTAAGAGTAACAACTCTACATTTAAAAATTTACAGTACGTGTGCAATTCATTGTTCAAATTATAACAGACTTTATTCCATTTGGCTATATTGTTCAATGGATCCATAAGTAATTTCATCGGTTGTGAGATTTCAGTTACATTTTTCCACACGCCATACATGGTTTCATCTTTAAACTTGTGTTCATTAGTTATGTTAATTGCTACTTCTAAGTCGATGGGATTCACCACACTGTGTTCGAATTCATTGCTAACGTTGTAAATTACTGTACAAAAACACTGAAAAGTAAATTCATTTTCTACCATCTTGAAGTTGTTGACGTCCAGTAATGGAAAATTGCAAAAGTCGTCGAGTTTTAGATCTTTGAAATAGTTCAATAGACCAAATTTGATAGACTTGTTGGCAGATGACATCATAAGTTGACTGACAGTTTTCTCGGTTGGCGCCGTCGACACATTTCCTATTTGCAATGTGACAACGGTCAGACCGGCGAGTATCAACCGTATCCCGACCGGGATCATGTTATTGTTTCGCTATTATTTTTCGTTTCGTCCAACCGAGCTAGATCTTACATGATAAAGCAAGCATAAAGTTTTGAAAAATTGAACAAATGCCAAATACAAACAGAAATTGAGGAAGACAAGTCTGTCGGTACACTCAGCGAATCCAATGCCAACCAGTAATAAATATATTTTGAGCCGAATAGTGCGTCATCGAATTTCAAGCAAAAAATACTTATACAAACATTACAAACCGACAACTAATGCAGTGGGTAAATAATACAAAATTACTAAACAGTCAACTCGAATGTCGAATAAATTATGCAGAATAATATTTATATTATCACTTCAAAGTCTCTAAAGTCGGTACTCGTAGCGCTCAAGCGGTCCTGTTATCAGAATTTATTTTCGTTTTTATGTTCATGCCGGTAAACATAACCTCAAATCGTCTGACCGGGCAAAACTTTTACGACGCTCTACAGTCTACATTACGATTTTCGTCTTTGGACAATAACATTATTAACAGTTAACACAAACACTATAAAAATTAAAAACTAAAAACTACTTCTAATAGATTAACTATTAACAGAAATACAGATTACCTAGTCAGAAATTTAAGTCGATAACTCAGGACCATTAATTCCACAATTTTTCTTATTTAATATTGATTGTTTATGTTAGACGTTAGTATAAAAAAAAAAATAGTGGACGAGTAAATCAAATTTCAAACAAGAACTGTTCCACCATAAAAATGGTAAAGCGCAAAAGCGAAATAGCTTTGGCTGACGCCGAACAGAACAGATCGGTCAGAGAAAAGTATTTCAAGACCGACAAAGTAAGTTCTGAGATTCTTGGTAGCTTTAAAAATTAAAGATTGATACGTATGTAGTTATGTCGATTTTGATTTTATTTGCGGTTTTTTTTTTTTCAGAGCAATGTTCGCACATCCAGTCTTTTTATGCCCATCATGGCCCTGGAAGGTCACGAAGGTGATATATTTGCTACAAAATTTCATCCAGAAGGGGAGTATCTTGCATCATCTGGTTACGACAGAAAGATTTGTAAGTACACATTTGTCGTAGCATCTCATAAATATTGTCCAAATTGTGTAAATTTATTTAAATTGAGTAAACATGTTTCAGTCATATGGAGTGTGTATGGTGAATGTGAAAATTTGGGCGTTCTCGCTGGCCATTCTGGAGCTGTTTTAGATATGAAATTCTCCACTGATGGAACGTTAATTTACACGAGTAGTACCGATATGACGGTTTCTTTTTGGGATATTTATAAGGGCCAAAGAGTTAAGAAACTTAAAGGTATATTTTAATATTCAGTTGTTAATGATTACTTAATAAATAGTTACTGAATTTCAATGTTTTGCAGTTTTTTTGTTTTTAGTTATAATTTAAATGCATTTGTCTAATATAAAAGTTAAATGTTCACTAAAGTTGAAAAATTCACTAATAATTTTTTTTGTTATTGTACTACTGAATGTAGTCAAACTTCAGACAAATACCCAATTATTAATTAAACATTTTTTTTTTTACTACCTAAGTGAAAATAATAAAAATGTATTGATTTCAAATAATATGTAAGCTGTTAGTTTTTATCTTTCATTTTTTTTCTTCCTGTTTACTTATTTCTATTTTATTTATTTAACGAATTGTAAAATATTCTTCTCTAACTAAATTTGTTTTTGTAGGACATACTGGGTTTGTTAATTCCTGTGACTCTGCAAGACGTGGACCTCAAATGATCACAAGCGCTTCAGACGATTGCACTATAAAAATTTGGGATCCAAGAAAACGAGGCGGCGATGCAGTTACTACTTTCAATAATAATTATCAAGTGATGTCTGTATGTTTTAATGATACAGCTGATCAAGTCATAACTGGTGGTCTAGATAATGAAATAAAAGTAATTTGTAATTTATATATTATATATATTTTTAAATTTTAACCAACAGCAGTGCTAACATTACTACTCAAAGAATAGTCTAGTTTACTAATGTTTAAAAAATTTTGTGTGTTAGATTTGGGATTTACGTAAAAACGCATTACTTCATCGTTTGCCTGGCCATACAGATACAGTGACTGGACTTGAATTGTCACCCGATGGCTGTTATTTACTGTCTAATGCAATGGATAACAGTTTGAGAATATGGGATGTGAGACCTTATGCACCTGCTGATAGATGTTTGAAAGTCTTCTCAGGCCATACTCATAATTTTGAAAAGGTACTAATATCAAAAGTATATTGGGCATAGTTATATTTATTTAATTGTTTACTACTTTTTATTATAAGAACTTATTGCGGTGTGCGTGGTCACCAGATGGTTCAAAAGTGTCAGCGGGTTCAGCTGATAGATATGTGTATATTTGGGATGCCAACACTCGTAGAATATTGTACAAGTTACCTGGTCATAATGGAAGTGTAAATGATGTAGATTTCCATCCAAAAGAACCTATTAGTAAGTAAAATTATTAAGACCATAGATTTCCTTGTTAGAGAGTGATAGCTTAATATATCACTAAAATAGGGCAATATTTTAAAATAAAGTGATGGTCATTAGCCATGTCTCACACCAGCGTTATGCTGCATATTTCAAGACCCTGTGGTACACCATGCTAGAATTTTATAAAGTGACATATAGAAATAAAAAAAGTGTCGCAATATTTATTTGTGTATAATTATTTGATGACTGGAAACAAATATAGTTGTTGTGGATTTTCAATAGAATCAATAGAATTTTTTAATAAAAAAAAGTAACTTAAAATTCAAGAACTCATATCAGGACTAGGTTTGTACTAAAATTATATATTTTATCAATAATTAATCAAAATCAAATATAAATGAGTGTAGACACTGTCTCATTGTATTTTATAGTACTTAGCCACTAATGAAAACAAAGTCAAACACTTACCTGACAATGATAAATACAGCATGTGCATTCACTATTAAAGTATTAACTACAATCATAGTTGTTAAATTATATATTTTATTTTTTTCAGTTATGTCTGGGTCTAGTGACAAAGTTGTATACCTCGGCGAGTTTGATTGAATCCATTTGAAACTGAACTGACAATATTTAACTTTTAAATTTTTGTTAGGTATTTAGCTTTTTATTACTTTGTATTTATTAAATTAAACTCAGACTATTATAATAATTTATGTATTCATATTATTCAAAATCCACCTACGTGTATAAACTATTATAAAATATTTTATTTTCAGAATATTGATTTTTTTTTTAATCGTCTCATGAATGGTTTAGCTGTAAAATATTTTCATGATGGAGGAAGTATAAACCACTGGTTTCAAACAATTTAAATGTTGAAATGAATACCATACTATTTTATTAAGCATAATTTTTCTATTAACACGTTAACGGTCACCAGTGATCACCAGTGCTCAAACAATATGTATTATTAGTATGCCAAGCATATATTTCCATGTTATTCCAAATTTTTATGTATCATTGTATTTGTAAAAACATTTAATTATATATATAAAAAAATAATATGATTATTACATGAAAAAATTGTGGCAATTCCCACTACGCCACTTCGATCTTTTTAGTACATTATTGTGCCATGGAAAAGTTACTGATAGAAAACTTTATTCATTTTTGGTTGCTGGCAGTCGCAAAAGTATACAATTTAAATATTACAGATATAATCATTGGCGGTCGCATGGCAGTCAACGTGTTAAAAATAGAAATATAAAATAATTATTTGAAGTTTGCTACCTTTTATATTAATAACTTGGTGGAAAAATAGTTAATACACTAAATAAGTGTACAATTAGTGTATCAATTATTATTCATGTAAAAAGACACAAATTTGTATCAAATATAAATTTACTGCAACTGTGTAAAATAAAATAAATAATACTTGTTTAATATATTCATTTGATAATTTATTGTATTTAATCTTCATTTGAAATCAAATTGTTATTTACATAATTACATAAGAATATAGGATACTGAAAATAATGCAACTTTTAATTGAGTCCTTCAGTGATGTAATGGACTAACCCACAAAATATGTACAATATTTGAGTTAATGACATTGATTGCAAACATACACCAATACACCATACAATTCAAAACATAAATGGTCTAAGCCACCTTTACTTAACATTTACTTAATGGCAGCACTTAAGCCGTTTTTGTAATTTAAACTTTTAAAGTACCTACTAGTGTAGATCATTTTAAATTTACTAAAGTGAATTAGTCATTACTGCACTGAAGCTGAAGCCCTCAGTTTTAATTGTCAGATTTCTAAGTCCACAATGCACCCAGTGTATTCTATAATTCTATCACAATAATTAATAATTATCATTTTATCAACTATAGATACCTACTATTAAATATTAATTATTATAAAGTAATAACTACTGCTTAGCTTTAAATTTATAATAAATTATGGGGCATCGTTCAAACATGTTAGGTTAGGTTTGGGTAGGTATATATTATATAATATATTGAAATTTCCAGTCGTATACTTAGTATTGTGTTCTTTTGTTATTGCGAGCAATAGCATCCTTCTTTGGAGTTTTCTTTGATCCAAGGCAAATATTTAGCAACTCTGGTGTATACTCCAGGAAATCCAGGACGGGCGCATCCGTGACCCCAGCTCACGATTCCTATACAAACCATGGATATCATTATACAATATTATTGAGTACTTTAAGCCGTTTAGGTATACTATCGTTGTCATATAGTTTTTAGCAGAGAATGCATTGCATAATTGCACAAGCAGACACACAGTGAGACGCTAAAACTAAAGTAATAGTAGGCAGTGGCGGATCCAGGATTTAATTTTTTGTTTTTTTTTTTTTGAGGGGGGGAGGCATAGTCCAAAACGCAGATCTTAAATCTTAAATTTTTATTTTTTTTATTTATTAAAGATTATATTTAAATAATAATAATATTGTAAGAAATGTATACAGGCAACACAGGCTTGTCTGGGGCGACGTTATGTAAGAGGCGTCATTTCCTTGGTGGTAGGCAGGGACGTATTTTGGATATGTTGCTACTTGGCCTAGCGCAAAAACCGAAAACCGTTTTTAAACCACTGATGAGAAAAAAAAGAGATTATTTAATTATTACATTTTTATTATTTAAAAATAATAACAGAGAAGTGAAAAGTATCCGGCAATTAACTTAATTTAGTTTTGGATGGGACGGTACATGTACAAGTACAAATGTATAATACACTAAAATTAAACTTAATTTAATGTGTATATTATCATTTGATTTTTTCCCGAAATGACGACGTCGCGTTCGTCGAACGTCGGTAACTTTATAACGAGTTTATTCATAATAATAAACTTTATTCGAATTATAATAATTAAATTAAATGTAGTTAATCCTAACTTTTTTAAGCAATGTTAATTTATTACAAAGATTATTATTTTTAATGCTAATAGAATGTTTGTATTAATGTATACAATATACATTAATGTACTTTAATCTATATCGAAAATTAAAACAGGTCCAACAGGCCTGAAAAAGCGGTACATTTGATAATCTGTTAATTAGTATTGTATTAGGTAATTATTAAATTCATTATTAAAATAAAAAAATAAATAATGAACAATTTAAATATAATAGCATTTGTTAACAACAACTTTTCTTCACTGAAATAAAATTTTTTCTTAGAATTTCAAAAAAAAGAAAAGTTGACGTTTGGGAGAATTTCTAATATAGGTAATGTGTTTGAGCGAAACAATATAAACAATAAAATTATAAAAATTAAAATAAGCACTATTGAATTAATAAAAGTTAACTTATGCCAATGGGGGGGGGGGGCATAAGCCTTTCGTGCCCCCCTTAAATTCACCACTGATAGTACTGATAGTAGGTACCTGGTAACATTTTCAAAATATTTTGAGCTATTTATAGACATTTTAGTTTTTTTTTATAAATATTGAATACATATTTTCGGTAAAAATTTAATATCTAATTCAAAATATTTAAGATACATAAGCACGATTTTTTTTATAAGTATTTGAAGTTAAAATTTTGATTGAAATCGTCAAAATTCCGAAAATTTGAAGATATGTGTACCTAATTAATAATCATAAATGTATGTACTAAATTTTTAATTTGTATAGCTTCGTCTTGAAAACTATTACAAAATTGCTCATAAGTAATTTATGCTGGAAACGACAATTCTAAAAAACATATAAATACACATATTTTCATAGAAATTTTAAGTTCAAATTTGAGCGATATTGGATACTTAAACGACAATTGTAGTTATTTTGCTGTTAGTCGAAAATGTGAAATTTTTGGGATTTGAAAACTATTCCCATTGTTTTACGGTAGGGAATTATATGTTTATCGTTATTGAATATTGATTCAGAAGTTAATGACAATAATAAATGATATAAATAATATACACTATTTTAATGATTAAATATTAATAATATATTTAAATGCAAAGTTTTTTCCAAAAATGTATTCAATCTAATCGTGTAACTAATACAGTAGTATTTACCTAGGTAGTCAAATAAATGATTATAATATCTATTTAATTAATACATCATAAATCATTATTTGTAATATAGGCTGACAGACCATCTTCGTTAGAAACCATTTTGCGTAGGTACGCAATGATATTATATCATCATTGACTTCAAATTGAACAAATACATCATAACACGCTCTACACCTACAACTGTATAGCAGAGTTACCTCCCCCTCACCCTTTTTAACGATTTTTGATTTCATAATATTATGTTCCGTTCGTTTCACGTTTGACGTCACTAGTAACAATGTATAAAATAATAATAATTATATATTTTCAGAATTAATTGGGGGACTTGGCGATGCGTAACAACTTAAATTAACGTTGACATCACGGCTAAATTGCTTTTAAAACCTGAGTACCGCCATCACGGCAATTCGATTTTTACGGTCGTGTAATATTGTAAAAGCTCGACGCCGTGTTTATTACGTTATTTATAATTTTATATCGAATTGTATGGAAAGGTTTAAGGTTTTTTGTAAACGATAATGGTATTTTTCAAGTCAATTTTCTGAGAAGGGAAATAACCGTATTAGATGAATTGTTTTTGTTTCTATAAAATACAAACAATTTAATATTTAGGTATCTTAATACCGTTAGCAGTAATGGGGGGAGGGGGGTCGTTCCCCCCATCCCAATTGGTATTTTTTTACTAGATGTATAAACATTAAAACAATTAAAATAATATTTTGATACACATACATTCTATATATATTATAACATATGTTTTATTTAATCGCTCACATTGAAAATATCTGTGTACGACACTGCTTAAGAGGATGTTAACCATAGACCTTATACTTTTATCGGTTAACAAATTGCTATTTATTATTTTTTGTTAATGTTTGATCTCAAATAACGCCAAGTAGTTAAGAAATAATATTATAAAGATTAATATATATATCTAACAGCTAGGTAATATCGATTAATCATTAAAATTGTAGTTATTGTTATTTAAGACGTTTAGTTGCTACGACAAGAACGATTTTGGTCAGAAAAATAATTGTATACACAGTCAAAAATATATACCATATTATGAAAACAAATATTGTACATTTTATTTTCCACTTAATAATTGCAAATGGTCATGGTAACCAAAAATTAAATAAATAGGTAATAATAATTACTATTGATTAAATAGGTTCTTAAAATTTACAACTCTAATTAAATTTAAATTAAATTAAATAATTTAGTAAAGTTTTGGTTATTTTACCTTCCATATTTTTGTGTTTAAAATATTTTAGATTACAGATATTAAATATCAAGATAGGTACTCAATTGTGCGACATGCACCCTTTGAGTGAACCGAGCAAGGGACAGATCCCTCTATAGTTACATATTATAATTATTAAATCATGCATTTATATTTTAATATTATACTGTATATACGATCTAGACATCTAGAAGGCATATGATATGCAGTTTAAAATAAAATATGAATGTCTTGGATATGATTGATTTGTCGCAATCAAATAAATTCAATATTTGCATAATATATTTATTGATTTGTTTAGTTCAATAAACATTTTACTTCTTGCATCCCGTTCCATTATTCAACTCCTTCCTAAATACCCCCCCCCCCCCACATAACTTCTCGCCGCAGCATAATATTAAGACATATTGTGTAGATCAGCGGTTCCCAAACTGTGAATTGGGAGCTTTTGGCAGGGGAGGAGCGAGCCTTGAGGTAAATATTGATATTTTTTAAATAACAATGTTTTTTTTTGAAACTTTTTGACTATTCTAAAAAAAATATTTAATTTTTAGAGTGGCGTGAACTAAAAAAGTTTGGGAACCGCTGGTGTAGATTATGAACATTATGGCAATAACCGTGCGCTTACCAATGATCTCGAACCGTTTGTTGTCCATGAGTCTCATCAGCGGTCCACCGCTATCACCCTGACAAGAGTCCTTGCCACCCATCTCGTGACCCGCGCAAATCATGTTCTCCGTGATCAGTCCGCCCGTGTAGTTGGTCTTGGAGCACTGCTCGTTGTCTACTATCGGCACGTCCACCTGTCTCAGGTGACACGACGTACTTCCGTTCTCGTACAGCGTACCCCAACCGGCCGCCTTTGCCACACCGTTACTGTAGGTGTCGTCTGCAACGTCATTCATACTGTCGTATTATTATATTATTGGCACGTCGAGGTTTATAATATAATATTGTTCATCATCGTCAGCGACATGATACACCGTGGAGCGACTTTTTTATAATAATATTACAGTTTTGATAAAACTGGTACCTAAGTACAGCTGGATTTATCGTACGCAAACTGTAGGTACTATATTAATAATCGCCATGCTTATTCAGACACTAGGAATTAGTGGCACTTATGATGGCGATTTAAATTTTATTAGTTCTTCAAAATAGTATAATAGGTATCTGTTTTCTGTGAATCGTCAAGGTTATTGTTATGTGTGCTTGAAACTGGGAACACCTATGTAGGAAAACTTTGGAATTGACGTTTTTATATGATTTTCTATATTATATTCATGCAGAGTATAGAACTACCCTCAAAAGGTCAACTCTTAAGTCTGTAGCCTAGACCTAACCTATGTATAAGTACAGGTTTTCTAAACCTTTGAATGCGATTTTCCATAGAATATTCATAGACAAAACAAGAAAATGATTTTTTGTCGTTATTAGTCGATAGCGAGACTATAAACACAGACCATCCCACGTGGGCTAGAGCTATTTCTGCGATACATATAATGTAGGTTTAAGTAGGCACATAATATTCTGCGTTTACATTCACATCGAAAACAAATGTCTGCTGAAATTAAACTATAAATCAATATAGGTATAAGCCCACAAGTACAGAGCGATGGAGTATGTATGCATGTGTACTATTTAAGTTGACATCCTGGCATGCGAACCTTAAGCTCATAAATAATTGCAGGACGGAACCGCGTCCTGTATATTGGACTTTTTTCCGACACACGTCTCCATGAATGGAGGATCTCCATGTGCTGTTAGAATTGTACGACGTAGGCATGGAGACGAGTAGATAAGGAACGAAATTAAGGTGGATGAGTGAGGAATATCTCCCCCCCCCAGAGTCTTTATAATATAATATATTGTTATTACTTTGTAATTTGTGAGGTTTTGTGCTGATATCACCTCAAAATATATTCAAATCAAATTTCTGAGCATATTGTATATATATATATTTATAAATACCTATTTATAAACATTGGTATACTCATGGTAAAAAAATTTCTACTCCCATTCCCCCTAAAAAAGGACAAATTCTTAATTACGCCTTTGGCGTAGATATATTGTATCGTCGGATTGTGGTTTATACGCGAACTAAGTATATGTTATACATACACCGTTACTAAACAATTTCAATTCGTTACCGACAAAAACAATATTTTACATTGTTTTTAAAATGTATTTAAAAGTAGGTACCTATCTATGGTACAACCATACTTATCGGAGTTGATAAACATTTTTCTTTCTTTTATGGTCCCACTTAATTGCCACTGCAATTGGATCGTACTTCACTGTGTTATTTGTTTTAAATCAACAGTTCACATTTTATACTTGAAAATTATGATTTTTCAGTTATAATGAAGGGTCGCCCACAGTCACACAGACAAGGTCGCCTCACTGGCTATTTCCAGTCTTCAGTAAAAGTCAGTCTGACTCTTTCAGGAAGTGAAAACGGATCAAAATAGTGATGGTTAGACCTCTTGAGAGTTAATATTAAATAAGAAAACCATTCATAAAAATGTTCTATTTAAAAATACGGATTTCAGATTGAAAAAATCTGTAAAACTCACTGTGCCTACTCTGAACAATTGAGTACCTATATATTAACATATATTAAATGAATTGGTATATAATTTTATTTAATAAAACGCACTTGAGTCGGTCGGTAAACAAACAGGCTTTATTGTCGCGGACATCGGCACCCGGTCGTTGAGCCTCAACAACGCCAAATCGTTTTGGAAATTCAGGTAACTGAACTCGCCTACGATAGACCTCAAGACGAATCGGGTTTCCGGTTTTCTGGTAGCATTGCAATAATCGTGTTCACCAAAGGTGACTTTGATCAGCGGCCAAAAGAATCTGAAAATTTGCATTTATAATATTATGCGACGTTCTATATAATACATTACATAGTATTGTATAGCATATACAAACGGAGTAGTTTTGTTGTATTTTTTGTTTATATCCGCATGGTGAATACAGGATAATTATTTTATTAGTTAATTCTCGAATAAATTATATTAAATACTAGTTCAGAAAAATAGCTGTAAATTATTCCTATTTTCCTATTTTGCCTTTTTTTCCTACAATTATTTTACTAACAATATATATTAAATAGGTAATACAATAGTCAATAAGTAAATTTGATCAAAGAAGAAAAAGTGATACAAGGTTCGCATGATTAGAGAAAATATCCATGATATAACTCTGCAAATACATGTACAAAAGTAATTATAAGAATTTATTAAAGTTCCTATCTAGATAATAATACATCAGTTTAAGTATTGTTTATTTTAGCTTTGTAATAGTTCAACTATATTATATTGTATAGTGTATTATTAGTATATTGTTTTGTTTATAAACTCGTCATGATTCATTATACTTCTTGAGGAATCAACTCAATCAGATAGAACTTTATAAATAAAGATACTAGAAAACTGTAAATTGTAAATATGTACTCAATCCCTATTCCCGCCATTCGTATTAAAGTGGTACGAAACCGTTTTATCATATCAAAGAATTTTTCTACATCAAAGGGTTATATTTGGAGTTGAACTTTTTGTTATACAAAACAAATAATGAGAATTCAAATATGAAAACCTAAGTATTTATTTGACTTAAATATGAATGGGATCTTTGTGTTTAGTGTTTACAGTTTTAAATGTACGCACAAAACAATAATAAAAATTCAATAAATGAAAGACGAAATCCGATTTTCAGAAATTGTAAGACTCGCTTTTGAAGTGATGAATGTACTATAATATAGTGTACATAAGAACAAAGAACACAGAATTCTCAATTAATTCCAAATCATCGAAATAGTAAGTACAAAATTAAAATAATGAAATGTACTAATATAAAATATGTAAGTACCTACCTAATAATACCTATACTTATTATACACAAATAATTTTAATTTGTTTATATTCTGTAAATACCCATTACCCATGGATTATTGTTGTTAACTTTCAAGTCAATACTGATTTACATTTACCACGTAGAATAGTGTTATTTTGTGATTAATAGTTTCATGATAAAAAATATAAATTGACAATAGCTTAAAATTAATTAAAAAATATTTTGAAAATGTCATTGTTTATGTAAAATATAGTAATATTTATAAGAGTTTCAAGTAGGTACCGTGAATAATATTTTTAAATTATAACAAGCCTTAGCTGTAAAAATATTTTATATATTTTTAACTATAAAATAATTTTTAAATGTTGTTATTTTATCGAATTTTGTCAAAACATGAAATTCAAAAGCTTATAAAAAGAATTTTGTCTTTATATTTTCAATATTCTTATTTAGGTATTAGAACGCTTATAATAAAAAATCGTGACTATTTAGTATGTATATATTCGATATTTTTTATTTGGGATGTCAAGACTTACGAAGAACTTTTTTAATTTTCATATTTTTTATCCGAGTACTCAAATTCGTATCATATCAAAGTAAATTTAAAAAAGTCGAACTCGAAAAAACCCAAAATATACGAAAAATATTTTGTGTCTAGTAAATTTCAACATAATATTATGCTAACACATCCGTGCTTTCCATCTATCAACCATACCAATCAAAACTATCGTCGTTATACTATAAAATATGCAGTTTAGGTACCCTTTGACACAATGTGCGGCCGTCAGCACGTATCTATCGTTGATCAGCGTCCCTCCGCAGTAGAATTGATTGAAATACGACAGACGGACCATCCAGGGGTATTCGTGCACACCCGACGGCTCGCCGCCCACAATCTTCGTGTCGACGTTCGGAGATCCGCAACCTGTTTTTGATTTTTGGTACAAAAAAACGTGTGGGTATAAAATATATTAAAGTTAAACATTTGTACTCAAACATCGCGAGTGTGGTATTGGGCGTGGTGTGTATATTTTATTCCAGCTTTTGAATTTAGTTACAACTATTGAAATTATTTCTTACTAAACAATATTTCGTCACATTTCTCAACTGTTTAAAATGTATTCTAGTTTTTTTTGGTTCGGTGTCGAACATCGGTACATTTTATTGTATGTTGAATAATTTTGAGTTTTTTTAAATTGTTATCATTTTAAATAAATGTGAGCCAATTGCGAGATAGTTTATATTCGACAACCGTTTCTCGTCTATACAGCGGACAAGCACCAATATTTTGTGCGGGCTCGTTATTTATTTTTTAAGAACTACAGATGTTTGTAAGCTTACATTAAATTATTTACATTAGATAAGTCTATATAGTTCAATTTTTTTTTAAATAAGAAATAAATTATTTTCCAAGGGTCTAATTATTGCTTCCTATGGATAATTTATTTCTGGTCTCTACACAATATTTAAATAATGATGAACGATAATGTGGTTATTGACTGTTGACTTAACGTTACATGATGGGTATAATATTATGGAGATTCTATCTTGGCCATAAAAAAATCATGAAAGAACGTTTTAACTTTTGAAGTAAATTAAAGATTAATTTCGCATTTTTATATAAGACCATCGAAATTGATTGATTACATTAAAAACAAACTAAGTAGGATATAATTTATCCTATAACGCTGAACAACGCAAGATTGTTAGTTCGGTGCGTGTTGCGAATGGTCACAGAAGAAAAATATAACATTGTAAACGTAACGTTACGCACTCACAAAAACTTCTATTTTATTTACACAATTACACTTCTTGAGAACAGAAAATGTGTATTGGCTACCTACTTTTAATGTTTAAAATAATTTTTTAACTATATTATAGTTATTCAATCGTATTTGGGAATCTCTAAATTGTTTTATACTTTATTGTGACACCGTCATAGGTACCATATTATATTATCTACAACAACACTTAATAAATTATCATATTTTATCTGACCTGCTGTGCAGAGAAACATTTTTATTAAAAGCAAAGTAAACCACTAAAACTAAACCACTATTATTAATTAGATGTACAACACCCTTATTTATAGCGTGGTATCTTATGAGTTAAGGGTCATCACATAAATTTGGACATTAAATTGTATAGTTAACATAATAATATGATTATTAATTATTATCAAACATTGTTCCGACAGTGGCTTTAATTAAATAAACGTCAAAACAGTTTATACACACAAAGTTCAATTTCGAAAACGTCAAAGTGTAAAAACTAAAATCATATTACTCCCAGGCTGTCGTGACTCCAAAAATAGAATTTACGTTAGTAATTATCAGCTCTCTCCGCAAAGTGTGTTTTCCGACAAGTTTTGAAATTTCATTTGGTGAATACGATTTTTGAACTCAATATTATCATTGTGCTTTTTTTGCTGTGGAGGAACGTTGTGAATACTTAAAATTTATTTTCGTGTCAAAAATTATAAAAACATTTCTACTACGTTTAGAACTTGACACGTGCCTATACTTATATACGTATTTGTCGTTTGCTTTATACTTCCTGATTGTTTATTATTTTAAAACTAAACTGATTACAAGTGTTTTGTTAAATAGTACGGATACCCAGCGGGCAGCTCATAATATTCCTACTATAACCGTCAACGCTGAGTAAAAAACGTTTTAGTTAATATTTTCATAAAAATGTATATTTTCAGGTACATCCTAAAATCATATTATCTCAACTTACAGCTGATAAATAACATAATAGAGTATTATATATTATACATATTTCATATACAGTATTACTGCAGGGACGTTTTATCATTAACCAGGGACTAGGTCGCTAGGATATAAATATATAATAATTTATTATATAATATAATTTTTTCTTTTTGTATCCATATCATTACTAACCCTCGAGACTATACGCATATAATTCCTGTTTGATATTTATACTATAAATTATTTTTCTGGTTATTGTGCCCACGTATATATCAGTGTACAACTATATAGTACCAACCTATACTTATATTGCGAAGTCTCCTGGGTCTTAACGCAATCTGCAGAGAAAAGTGTAAAAGACAAGAAACGTCAAAGGTATATAATATATAAGTAACCTATACCTACATAATTTTTTTTTAAACACATTATTTTTATATGAATCTAAGAAATGTGTGATCTCCAGTCAATGAACGGTGAACCGTGAATAATACCATACGCGTATGATATATAATATATTATAGGGTATATATTATAGTATTACAAGGTTCGTGCTCTAAATCTACCGGGAAAAAAATGAATTATGTATATTTGAGATTAGGTTATAGGTTTTTATCTATTTGATAGGTTCGGTCAGTGATGATATGAGATCGAAATCGTGTAAAAATAATCTATTAAGTCATTTAATTTAAATTACGTTGCATTCCAGGTTAAGTTTTAATAATAATCATAATAATAAATAAATAAAATATTTTATGGTAGTTATTGTATTAAAGAGCTTTTGTTTAAAGATTTATAACCTAACAAACTAATATCAACAAATAATTTATTATTAATATAGATTTAATTAAAATCAGGAGTTGTAACTTTTTAATCGTTGTATTGGTTATAACTTAAAACCTTACATTTTGTAAGAGCATGGTAGATTTTACAGCGAATTCAAAAGTTTAAACCTATATCAATTACTTATTAGTTTTAATGATATGATTTAGAACGGAGTATTTTATTTCTATTTCTATACTCGATCAAAGTAAAACTTTGAGCGATGACCTTTGAATGAGTTTCTTTTTGTATTACACTAAGTTGCTTCAAATTATTTTTAATTTTGTTTTCTCAAATATTTAACTCCACTAAGTACTCATTAAAAATATATAACCTCTAAATAAATGTAATTAACATTTAAATTGTGATCTGACGGTCGTATAATAAATTGTGTCAAGGAAAATATAACTCCAAATGTAATTAATTGAGTTTTTTAAAATTTTCTATGGGCTTCAATAGTTTACCAAAGTTGTTAACCAGCAGATTTCGGGTGGTTAAAATACATAAAAACGTTTAAGTAAATTATTAAGATTATTAAGGTTATTTATAACACTTATTACAGATTATATCTTCGACACGAATTTCAATTATATTAATATTAAAATAAATGTCTTGCGTTAATCTAAACGGAAAGCGGATGGATTTCATGGGTATGTACGTGGATTAAATTCAACCACGACGGCCATCGAGGACATCTAGAAATGTTTAGGTATACTCACTGCAGTCGCA